GAATTTTGTTTGTGATTTTTAAGCTCCTTTACTTTTTAAACTAGCAGCTGCTACAGTACAAGGTTATTAGTGGTAAGCAGGTGTGATCCTGCTTTGTTCTCGGATGTTGTGAAAGGCGGCAGTTGTCATCTGCAACCTTTCTTTCTCGTAGCGACGGCGTCGAGGTGGCTGATGCTTTCTCATTTCGAGGCACGTGCGCACATGCTGTGAGTCCCTACGCGAAAGCTCGAGTTTTGCTCAAATCATGCCCATTGTCAGTAGCGTTCAAAATGGATTTGACACTGAGCTTGCAGCTCATAATCAGGGCTTCGTAGGATACAAGGTAGGGATTAATAATTTATTTGCTCTATTTCTATATTGACTAGTTATTTTTTTAACGCAATATTCGTAGTAAAATTTTAGTGGCTGTGTTTTTGGTTCACTTTATTATAAATGTACACAAAGCTGCACGGGCATTACAGATGTTACTTCATTTGCATGAATAAAAAAAAAAGCAATCATACACTCAGTGTACTCGGTTCAGTGAACACATGAAGGGTTCGGTTAGTGTAGTTTTGAAGTCTAAAGAACACCGCTGATCATGGGAGGAGGAAGCAATTCAAGTGGCAACTGGCATTATGTCAATGACTTCAGAAAGTTTGATGCGTAACTACTGCGCTGATTTGTCGCCTAGAGCTATCAGAATTCAGCTTTATTTTTAAAGCTTGATGCGTATGTTTCATAAACTATGGCGATTTTGCTGAATTATCGTAATGGTGAGTTCACTGCATAAAAAAAAAAAGGCCTCCTCTAAGTATTCAGAGGGATTTTAATCATTCCTTTTCAAATATGATCAATCTTCACAAGTTCCCAGACAAGCTGACATTTTTTCTCAACTGACATTTATGTACATAAACACTTCCAGAAGCATGGGTTTTTTTTTCGGTGATTAGTTGAGTGGATTTAGGCGTAGGCCACTTCGTGAAGCTGTCATGTGAATTTAGTTAGAGGGTGTTAGTCTAGTCTAGAGCAGTGTTACAAGTTTCCTATGTAGAAGTACATGCTTTGCCACTACTTGAGTGGTTAAATGTGCTCTTAAACGTAGGTGTTTCTTGTCCGTATTTGATTGGTTGCTGCTGTCAGTACACACATTAAGTTCATTGAATAAAGTTTACCAAGTTCGGAACGTCCCATCAATATGCACATAAGTCAGGCACCAGGGGGACATTTTACAGTCTGCGCAGCTGCCAGCCTTGCGTTTGTTGATTGCTTGGCAGTGTCGTGCACCGTCTTCTGCTGACGTGTGGTGCCATCTTCCTTTCCCAACAGTTCTAATGGCATGGAACTGGCTGAGCGTTTGGTAACTATGTTTATACGTAGTTTTTATTCCAATAACTCAAAACATCTGACAGTACAGACAAGACAAAAGGAAGAAAACCTCTCGGTCGGCCACACGAATTATTTTTAATTAGTTTCCCTAATTGTCATTTCCACATCTAGCTATAAATATTCAGTGGCAACTCTCTGCTGTACATTGTGGCATTTAAGTATTATTAAAAAAGCAACCACTCACCTAAGTTAGGAGCAGAAAAGATGATTCGATTGCATTACAAAAAAAAAAAAAAATCGATGTGGTCATGATTGGCCAGTTCTCTGACTGAAAATCTGGCTTGCTGCCATAAGTGGGGTTGCTTTTTTCATGGATTCCTTTCTCTTGAAACACCTGACAGTGGCAAGTGAAGAATGACATTAATTCAAGTTTTGATTCAATGTAAAGTCAATTTCAGGGACACATATGAACATGCACAGTTTCGCAGCATGCTTGTGAAGTGAGGTTTGTTTTTTCTTTGTCTCCATGCTGTTCTCTCAATATCCTAGCAGCATCTGTGTTTTTGTTTTAATAAAAGATTAGTACCTCCTTTCTATCTATTTTGTTACCACAGTGGACAATATAAATTAGAGAAAAATATAGCCAAACACTAAATAAATGTCAAAAATAGTTACAAGAACACCCTCACCATATCCAACCAGTCATCTTGTTAAATTTGATTATCTCTTGTGTGTGTGGTCTGTGTGTGCATGCACAAAAGATAATTTTCTTGTAATTATATATATATATATATATATATATATATATATATATATATACATAATAGTCAATTTTAGTTGAGGCACTAGTACATGCTGGCAGGTTTCGAGCAGCATAGCATAGAAGTAATGCAGTATCATGCCTGGACAATCATACTATATTGTTGTATAACTTCTTTTTGATGCGTTTGGCTCAGTGTGGTCTTAAGTTTTATGTGTGCATAAATGTAAGTTTTTTCCATTCCATCTACATGTGTGCTGCCATGCGAGGCTTTTGAGGCCACCTGCAGCATGGACTTTTGACATAGGGCTCAACAAAACCTCTGCTCAACGTCGTTTGAGAGGCAGACGAACATGTGTGCGTGGGCGTGCATGTACATGTGTTAGTGTTCTCTGTGGTTCAGCTAGCGAGTCTACAGCATGACAAAGAGCATTTTTAGATCAAAGCTGTTGCAAATGTTTAGCAACAGCTGCGTCTCAGGCTCTCTGTGCTATGCTTCGGCTTTTTTTTCTTTTCTTGTGGGGAACTGTCATACTTTTTGGAATTGAAAACAATATGGCATTATGAAGTGCAGATATAACAATGGTATCGTGGCTTCCATGAAGACGTCATCTTTAACTGTCAACGTGATAGTGTAGGAGCTCATTTTGCAGAAATTCTAGCCTCAGCATGGTTGGTTGAGAGCCAAAAATCATTTGTCTGTGACCGAAAAATTGAGAAACATATAAATAAGATAAATAACACAAACTTTTGGTTTGAAATACTTTGTACTTTAAGAAACATAATTTGTGAACTTTAGATGCACTAAAAGCTGAAGCTTTGGCATAGTTCTTGCTGTTAGAATGGATATTTGAATCTCTAACACTTTTGAACAATGGGACGGCCGAGCTTGCGAGCTCTGACCGGTAGGTACGGCTTGCACTTTTGGGTCACATCTGGCAGGCAACAGTAGGCAGTGAAGCCTTGGACTTGGGGCTCCAGCAATCGAGCTCGTGACGCCTTACCACAAACCCTTATCAATGAAGTCTTTCTTTTTCCTCCTCACCGTTCATATCAGCAGCAGCCTGTAGTTTCTTGTTCACAGCAGAGCTGAGATCTGTCGTAATCCTCTCTAGTTTGCCCTAGATCGTGCAAGCTTATTAAGTTTTGTTTTATTACATTTGTTTTGTGGACACTAGCCAAGCCAAAAGAGGGAGCATTTCTGCTGACAGCGGCTCTTTCCTCTTCGTAGGCAGTGGTAGTGATACAGTTCAAGTTCTTCTCATGCATAAATGTACTGATCTATAAAATCCGTGGACAGCACTTGGCAACTTCCGGCGTGTATCCGAAGTTTGCAAGGGGCCTGGGAAAGAGGAGCCTTTTAAAAGCAGACTAAAGGCAAATATTAAGTCGCCATACATTGTTGAAATAGTGTTCTGGAAACATTTTAGGGCTTGTTCTGTGCCAAAGAAATGTTCAGTGTGAAAGTTTGACATTGCCGTGTCAACTAATTTTGCTGAACTTAAAATTGCTGTAAAGAGGTTTTTGACATCATTTTGACCGTGAACTGCCACTGTTTTTTTTTTCTTAATTTTTTGTTGCCCACTTTTCGTGTTATGTTCTTCAGGTACAAATAGACAAAAAAAAATCAAGTTTGAGCCGTCCACATGTCATGAGCGTACTTCAGACTATAAGCTTCTGTGAACAACCTTCTGAAGTAGCGTTGACCATGCCCACCCTTCAATACATGACAGCCCGCACATAGTGGCCGAGGAGTTAGTGCGGCAAAAACGGAACTTGCGTCATTCTTAATAGTGACATCAAGAAGTTCTTTTTTCCCTCAAAATGCACTTATATGATCAAGCTGCAGTTTGTTCCATCTGGTAATGCTCTGAAATGTTCTCATTTTACAGGGGTGGTCTGAGTGCTTATTATTATTGTACTGAGGCCCTACTACGTTTGGGTTTGTCATTCAGTATGTTCTGCTGGTGTCGCAATTCGTGTCCTACTCGTACATTTACTTCTCGATTACTAAAGCGCTGATGTGTGTGATACTTACATTTTGAGCGTCCTCAAGCATTAACGTCTCGCTGAGAATATTATTTGCCTTTGGTCTTCTTTTAAGGAGTGGTCTCAGTCTCACTTAAGCTAAGTGGGCTGCAGTCACGAAATCGTCGCCGCACAAGACAGGTCAATGATGAAGGAAGGAGAGGGGGGTGAATGCGCTTGATCAGTATGTCAGGTAACCTTGCTGTTTGAATGAAGGCATTTCCTGTGTTTCATGTGTGTCTCATTCCTGAATGGTATTCAACAGCGATTTTTGAGCAGCACATCGATACTGATCACTATGAAACGGGGTTTATTGGCGTGAGGAGCGCTTGCACAGCAGGTCTATTGAGAGTGAAAGCAGGCGGCAACAACCGACACAGGAATCACAGCGCCAGGGCCAACAGCTCGCGCTCATCTCCTCTCGCTAAGGTCGTGACCCAATGTGGCACACAATCTTATTCCTCTGTACAGCTCAAATGACTGGAATGTGAACCTGAAGCATACTTATTAAGAAGAAAAAGAAAAAATGAGACCAACACCGTATAAGAAAGAGCATGGCTTTTTAGCAGAAGAATAAGTTTGATGCATCGTGTGTCATGGGAAGGCGATGCACCTTGCCATGATGCATTTGCGGGAAGTCTTGTGCGCCAGTGCAATTTCTTGTAAAGTGCAGTGGAAAGTCCAGCATAGGTCCGTTTGTAACGCCATCTTCTCTCTGTACTCGCTGGGGCCCCGTTTTCAAGATCACAAAGGTGGTCATGTGCTAACCAGACTGCTAACGAGAGGTCTACAGGCTGCATAGTTGAGACTCCAGCTTTAAGAGGTTATTGCATTGCATCAGCGTGTTTCTTTTTGCTGGAAACGAAAGGTGTCCTGAATGGCTTTCCTCGTTTCAAATGTGCAGACGTATGGACACAGCCGGAAGCACAGTGACAGCACGGAGTTCAAGGAGATGTCCAAGGCAGACGCCCAGGCACACCTGGCACAGGAGCTCGACAAGCTCTGCCGCACGGCAAGCGCTGCAGAGCGCGAGACCATTGAGGCCGAGTTTCGGGGCTTCCAGCACCTCTTCCACCAATTCGTCAAGGACGCCGGCCCTTCTATTGTCTGGGACAAGATCCAACCTGTGCCCGAGAATGCTGTAAGTGTCTTTCAGCCAATCATTCTGGCTATCTCTCCAATTGGCTGAAAAGCTGGTGCAACATAGCTTATTTTTGTATCTGTCTGTTTTGTTCCTAGGTGGTAAACTATAGGTTTTCCTGCATTTAAGATTTTTCAGTTGCCATAGATGACCTTGCTTTAAATATCACGGGGTGTTATACATTGTAAAAACTAAACAAGTTTAAAACAGTGCATATAATATTGACTACGAAGTAGAAAGAAAAAATGCAAACTACAGAGCACTGTTCTTTTTTGCGATTCGCTGTTTAACCCTTTTGCTGTGTTAAACTGCATGGCTGGGCTAAGTTGAACCCAGGTGGTGTGCAGCTGTGGCTTGGTTGATGATAGGCAATGGCCCAGAGGTTTCGTTTATGTACGATGGATGTTTTACCTTGAGCTTTAAGAGCTTCACTCTTAAAATTTAACTTTCCAGATTTTGTGCCGTGCAGCAAGTCAGTTTGCCCCCTGTTGTGAAAGGCTGGTGTTGTACATTTTGTCTCTTCGGCATGAGTGGGCTAGTTCTTAAGTGGCGATGCCATCGCAGGTCATTAAGTACGAAACGCTGCCAGCGCCCACCGAGGAGGAGGCCTATCCGGTCGATGCTCAACAAGCTGGTGGTGGTGAAACTGAATGGTGGCCTTGGCACCAGCATGGGCTGCAAGGGCCCTAAGTCCGTGATCCCCGTCCGCAACGACCTCACCTTCCTCGACATGACTGTGCAGCAAATCGAGGTGGGTAGGATGCCGAGCAAGGCTTTGGTTTGTCGTACATGGTTACTGTAAAATCCTGAGCAAGCATCTTTTTTTTTTTCGAGAGATCTGCCACATGTGCCATTGATAAAATAAGTGCCCCACCTTCTTTCCATTCCTTCCCTTCCGTCATTTTGACTGTTTCATTCACTGTTTTGAAGACGCTGAATGCAGGCATTTCATTAGAACCACGGTTATGCATTTTTCACTCTTAGTGTTCTCCCTTCCTCTGCCATCTTGAATTTCGCTCCATGACCAAGCAAGCCCCGCTCCCCTATCCAAATTTGGTTGAACTATCCTTCATCGTAGGGGGGAGGAGGGTATGATATCTTGGAATTTTATGGTATGCAACTACTAGGCTCAATGCAAATGAGAGCAAAGACACTGTTGACAGAACGAGCTCCAATTACCAACTGATGTTCATTGTTGCCAAACATACAAGGTCTGTTAGAAAAGTATCCGACGACGACGACATCATCATCATCATCATCGTTATTATTATTATTATTATTATTATTATTATTATTATTATTATTATTATTATTATTATTATTATTATTATTATTATTATTATTTCGAAAGCACCTGATGGATTTGAAAAGAGTGCCCTTGCATCAGCCGACCTCGAACCTTCGTGCACATGTGTGAATTTTTTCCCGCCTTTCAATAGCGTCAGTCGGTGGGACGCAGCGTTTGAGTTGGGTAGTGCGCTGTGTTCTTGTCGGTTTTTCGTTGCAAGGAAAATGACAGAGCTACTGGAGCAGCTCTACTGCATCAAATTTTTCCGGAAACTGGGTGACATAAAAGTGGAAACTATTGGGAAGATCAAGATGGCTTTCGGTGACGACGCTATGAGCCGCTCGCAGATCAAGGAGTGGTACAACTGGTTTAAAGACGGCTGCACATCGGTGAAGAGCGAGCCACGCTCCGGTCAGCCATCGACATGCCGAAAATACTAGGTCATTGCCGAAGTGAACGCTGTGGTGATACACACTGTCCTGGGACTATCCGAGAAATCGCGGAAGAGGTGGGTATCAGGGCTTTCTCTGCACATTCCATTATGTCCGAAGATTTGGCCATGAAGAGAGTTGCGGCAAAATTTGTGCCGAAGCTGCTCACAGTAGAGTGAAAGCAACTTTGGGTTGAGGACTCGCAGGACATGCTGAATTTCACAAGCAGTGACCCTAACTTTATGAACGCCGTTATCTCTGGTGACGAGTCTTGGGTGTACGAGTACAATCTAGAAACCGCGCAGCAACGTCAAAGTAATTTCTTCGACTACTCTCTGAATGCTGTCTTTGACTCCCGTGGTGTGGTACACAACGAGTACGCACCGCAGGATTTGAAACAACCACCAAAGAGTACTACAGGGTTGTACTCCGTCGCCTACCTGATGCTGTGAGGTGCAAGGGACATGAGTTGTGGTCAACAGGAAACTGGCACATTCATTACGACGATGCTCCTGTGCATTCTGCACACTTGGTTCAGACTTTTTTGGCGAAAAGTCAGACTCCTGTAGTTGAACCGGCTACTCTCCTGAAATGGCCCCCTGCAACTTCTGGCCGTTTCCCAAACTCAAGGACATTAAATGGAGAGAGATTTGAGACAAGGGAGGACATTATGGCTGCAATGACAGCTGAGCTAAACTTCATTCGGAAAATACCTTCTCGCAATGCTTCTAACAATGGCAGCACCACTGGGAGAAGTGTATGGAGTCCCAAGAGGACTACTATCATGGGGATTAGGTTTTAATGCTCAAATCATGCCAGTTTTTTTTTTCTTTCACCAAAGGTTCGATACTTTTCTAACAGACCTGGTATAAGCATATTGTTGAGAACGTCTCTTGTTTTCATGTAAGTGCACCCATTGCACGTGTAACCACCGTGTTGCACAAGCTGCGCTGAAATGTGGCACATACCTGGTTATTTTAGCTTATTTTGATATAAATTGAGCACAGAACACAAGAGTAGAGTTGATTCTAAAATCAACATTGCCTTTTACTGTAACCCTGCAATCTTGGGTGCTACATGTATAAATGACGATGTCCCTTAACGCTGGTCAGATTACCGACGACAGTGCTTGCTAGTATCTATGTACAGCTTTTGCTTGTGCTCCAACTATTCACTTCTTAGGCACAAGCTATCCCAAATGGAGCTTCATCTGTTAAAAAATTGTTGTAATCAGTAATATTCAACATTCTGGCATAGTACACGCCTATATACCTAACCCTGTTATTCCTTTTCGATTCTAGCGTTGGAGTTTTAGATGACGGTGCCTACTATCAATGCAAATTCTCTGGCACGACCGAACAGTGATAAGGACGAGACATCATAAGCGATTTCAGCAGACTAAGATTTACAAATATCAGCTTGCTTGCCTGTTGACTGATTAACCATATGAGACATTTTCATCCCTATCACCTGGCGACGGAAAGTTTTGTGCAGTTGCTCACTCGCGATATAAGGTCTCATAACGCAACATACAAAGGTAACTGGTAAAGGTGCCCTAGCAAGTAGGACAACCTAGTAATGCCCTGAGTTTGAATAGGATTGAAGTTTTGCCCGTAGTGAAATGTTTGGTTAAACGTGTTAGCAGCCAAACGCGTTTTTTTTTTTCTTTCGGTAGTTCTCAACTGCATACTGGCGTAATGGCATCAGACTAAAACTAATGCATTTTCTTGGTATGGTAAACATCGCTTCATGTGGACCTACTACTTCTATCTGGCTCCTGTGTAACGGGTGCCATATATGTGAAAATAGGAGTACATAGTGTGTGGGTGGCTATAAGTACACGACTACACCAGTGGAACATGTGCACTGCCACGGTGAACGAAACAGCAAAAGCTCATACGCTCGAGTCCACTTATAGCGATACTGTTTATAACAATGTATCCGATATACTGATGAACAGCGACATCACCTTCCACTTTTGTAGGCTTTCTGTAGTAAAATAAACCACTTATTACGATGCTGTGATATCTGATATAGCGATTGAGTCTGGCCGCAGCGCAGACTGAAAATGGCTCTCTGCGTGTTCTGCCGTTCCAAGGTACAAGACTGTTTCAGCGATTGTGAGAAAAAAGTAGGCGAGGAGGAAGCGATACCAGGAGAAGTCTGGGAAGCTCCTGATGACGCAAGGGTGCTAGAGTTGTGGTCGGCACTTAACCAAGATGCGTCAGGTCTGGATGACCTTCTCCATGCATATGACATTGTGGAAATGTCCCAGTGTCTCAATGATGAGATCATAGCAAGTGTACTGTCAACCATAAAACTTTGTGGACTACACGAGCGCGTGGTCAAGCGCCTTTTCGCGTCACTTCCGCTACATCAATAGCGATCGACAGCAGCGCTACGTTAAAGGCCCATCCCTCGTTATGTCTGCGGCCTGTCTATTTTCGCGCTGAGCACAAATATTTTGTACCTATCCCTTTCAACGTGACGCGCTCTTTAGTAGCCAGTGCTACTTGCTTATATTTTGAGAGCAGTATATCAGTACAAGTCATCAGACAGCGTAGTCTTCGTCTGTTATTAGTTCTATTTCCGCGTAGCCACGATGTTTTGGTTTTTTTTGTGTGTGTGTGTGTGTGTGTGTGTGAGTGAGCGGTGAGGCAGCCATGGGACACAGATGCTTAGTCAGTAGGCAGAATTTTTTCGTTCGTCCCCTATCTCTAAGTGATAGTGGCGGCCGGCATTTGATCACCTGCGCCCAGGTTGTGCTGCGCAGAGCCCGACCCGCCACGCTGCTATAGTGGTAACATTAGAAAAATAGGAAATAAGCGGATGCGATGACTCTTTTTATAAATTTATTCACAGGACATTTACAGAAGCGTCATGAAACATGCATCTCTCAAGGATCTAGTAGGAAGTGAAATGTCCGCCATTTTCTAGTACCTTATTGATGCGTGTGGGCATCGACTCGTAAAAAGATTTAATAATATCCGGTCGACCGCGCAGGTTTTCCCATTCTCGTGCGATCCCTTGCCACAACGTATCGGCCGTGCGGACGCTGTTGGCTCGTGTGGACAGCCGTTTCTTCAATATGCCCCAGACATTTTTTATGGGATTCAAATCGGCGCCACATGGAGGCCACTCGAGCTGGCAAACAGCATGCTCTTCTAGCAATGACTGGACGACACGTGCTTTATGTACCAGGCTGCGGTCGTGTTGAAAAGGGTAGCAGCCGTCGCTGAAGGGACCATCGAGCACATACGGAATGAGGTGTCTGGTGATGACTTCGCAGTACCGTGACGCAGTGAAGGGCCCTTCCAGACGCACAAGGGGACCAAGGCCGTCTTGGCTGATTGCTCCCCACACGCTTGTGGAACATTATCTACTGGATAGAACACTCTGTGTGTAATTAGGCAGATATCTGCAAGAAATAGCATAAAGTTAGGCTCCAGTGGCGCGTCTTAAAATGTTCACATTCCTCTTGTGTATGAACTGTATAGTGCTGTTATAGAGTTTGCAATAGAAAAAGTATGAACATCATTAGCTAGTACTGAAAGACCCACTGGCAGCATTTAATTAGCTTCAGAGTAAGTAGTACTAAGAAACAATTGTTAAATTGGTGTTTTCAACATTATACCACTGCAGAAAAATCTCGTACTTTCCAAAACCTCATTTTACGCGAAATATGTTGTGATGCAGAATTATCTTCTGTAATTTAATTGCAAATACACTATAAACACACTTGCAGTTTAGTGGAGGCCAAACTCGCTTCCGTTGGTCCCAGCGTGTGGAATAGGTTGACTCGTCGCTAAAGATGACATTGCCCCATTTCTCCGTTGTCCAATCTTTCATTGCTGTAGCGAACACGAGTCGTTCTTGCAGCTGGCTGTCTGGGAGGCAGGGCTTCTGAGCTGCTACGAAAGACTGCAGGCCAAGCTCACTCAGCCTTCTTCTTACAGTCTCAGACGATACCGTGAGCGAGAGCGCTTCGCGGATGTTCTCAGTACTTTGAAAAGGATCAGCCACGATGGCGGCCGTAATCAGGCGGTCCTCTTCCTCAGTCGTGGCCCTTGGATGTCCTCCGCTGCGCTCCATATCTGTGAATCTGTTGTCGTCGCGGAAAGCCTGAATAATCCTATTCACGGCAGTCCGGCTCCTGTTGGTTGGGCGGCAATTTTCGCGCTGAGGTACTCCCTCTATAAATAAACGCACAATGTGCCTTCTTTCATCTAGTGGAACACGGAGTGGCATCTTTCCAAATGGACAATCATCACGTGGCTAGAAGCAAGTTGACTACGTTTTCAGCAACTGATACGAAGATGCACCTGTGTGTGCAAGAAAAACTTTCTATGCATCCGCTTTTTCTTTATTTTTGGTGTCAGTGAAACATCTCCCTACCCTTTCTCTTAAGACACAGAAGCAGCAACACTCATTGGATCAAGATGCTGCTAAACCAAAATGCACCAGTAAACGTCGCGTAAAAAACGTCGCAGCGCTTTGTGAAACTTATCTACATGCCAGTCGACAAAAGTTGCAGTGATTGCTCCGATACTGCTATCAAGGCAGATATGTAGTGGTCTTACCGCAGACAGCGCTCTGTGTCAAGGCAACGAACTAACAATGTCTTGCTTGGGAATAGAGACTTGACATGCAGGCGAGTACCAAGAAGGCTCGTATCCGGGAGAGAGCTGCTGTAGCCGCTAGGTGGCGTACCGCTAGGTGGAGCGGATAGGAAGTTTGGCATGCGCCCGCGTGGTCCGCAAACTTTTGTGGTTGACTGTACATGCTGCGGACAGCAGTAAAAGTGACGACTTCGACGACGTGGTTGAGTAACCTACCAAGATACCGTCATCGAAGGAAGCCCAACAGATGACACAGCATCTCCAGGGAGTTTGTTTTTGCAAAGGACCTACTGCTCAGTTATGTGGAGCACACCTAGATGCCCTTCTCAAAGATGTGCACCAGCTTCGTGTAAAGCAATCAAAGCTGACAGACTGTAGCTTTTCTGCAAACAAGTGCATAGTTGCACTACATTACTTGCATGCAAAAAAATGTTTTGGTCTCTCTTTTGCCGTTCGGTTTGTCGACCCGCTTATAGCAGTTATCGATTTTAACGGTTGGATTTTCTTGGCACTTGGATATCGTTACAAGTGGACAGCATTACATGTGATTGGATCATGTCTACAGGTGGTCAAAAGTTTCCATGCCTCACTTCCATTGCGATACTTGGGATACTTGTACCACCCCTGTACATGTCCAAGCTTTTGCTGCTTTGTTAATAGTGGTAGTGTATAAAATCAGTACTAGTTGGCACCTGTCCCGCCTCAGGGGTTCTCTGTCCTTGTCTGCTTTGCGCCTAAGTGTACTGATAAAGATTCCAGATTCTTCCTGCTGACGCATTCGCGTGCCTATCTCGTGCTCTCACAGTGTTAGCTGTGTCATGCAGTTGCAGCAAAGGGTCATTTTCGAAACATTAGGGTGTCCTGCACTCATCCACATTTAGGTATTATTTGTTGTAGACAGATGGAATACATTTGTGAAGAAGTGCACCTCATGAGTTTTGCTCTTCTTGTGTTGCAGTACCTGAACAAGACATACAATGCCAACATGCCGCTGGTGCTCATGAACTCGTTCAACACTGACGACGACACGTCCAAGGTTCTCCGCAAGTACAAGGGTTTCAAGGTCAAAATATACACCTTCCTTCAAAGCAGGTGGGTTTTAGCCAGGCCTTGGAAGTTTTGTGTGTGGGTTTGTAAACACTCGGTGTTTGGATTGTGTGGAAATCGGAGGTGACTTTGCGAGTACTTGAACGAGTTCGTCGGGAGGTAGCCTCATTTAGAGGGTATTCAGACGGCGGGCCGAATCTGGATTTACCGTGGACGCGGATGATTCATGAAGAATCTGCTTCTGGCACATTCACATGACTGAGGAAGCCTTGGCAGACAGCAGCATCGGTAAGTTTAATTGCTTTCGACTGAAGCCGCTGCAATCGTTATTAGCAGACCGATTTGAGAGTATTCAATGTCAAGAAGGCTCACGGAACAGTAAGTTCACTTTGTCGAGCATCGAGCACTGTCAAGAACCGGTGTCGTTGCCTTAAACATAAGAAGAAAAGTGTGCTGTACAGGGAGCTGCTCAAGACTGACCTCGCGGCAGTTGAGCCTGGGGCGTCGCATACGAAGGGAGGATACAGTAATGCACCAATATTGACAGTTTTTTTTTAATTATTTGCTGGTAACAAGTACCGACAGTACACATTGCACTACTACACATTATGTTTGCATCTATTGTTATCGGATCTTGACCATAAAGGGACACTAAAGTCAAATAACAATTTACGTCAGAGTGAAAGCTCAATATATGACATCTAAAACAACGATATTATCAACAACAGTGCTTTACTTACCGAGAAATTGAGGTAAATGCACAACAACACAGGCACCGCAATAGGAAATTTTCAAAATGACCTCGATGGCATCATACGGACCGGCTACAATGGATCACTAGTAATCGATCCAGCTAAGCGCCTCCTCTACTTTTTTCAGTGCCCGAGCAAACTCTCTCTTCAGGCCGTCGAGCGCGTGCTTTGCCGCCGCTCACCGCTGCCGCATGATGACACTGCGTCAGTAGACTACGGGATGCTGGCGCTGAATGACCGTGCGTATTAGGAAGCTCGCGAATTCGTGTTTTCAAGGAGTTAATTTGCAGTCGTGCTTCTTGACGGCTTTCACGGCTGCAGAAAGGATGAAAAGTAACACAAACATAGCAAGGCGCTGTTTTCACTGGGCTCTAGGCCGTGCTATTGGTTCGATTTACCATGCATTTGAGTTTTATAGCATTTGCATTTTATTTTCTCTTTCAAGCTATTGCAACCTCACTATTTGCATGCCTCACTATATAATACTGCTGTGTACCACTCTGCATATCTGGCAGAAAAAATTTTCATCAATTTTTTTTTTTTTCGTTTCTGATTAGTTACGAAAAAACACACTCGCCGGTCCACTTATGGATTCACCTGAGACAACTGAAAAGCAGAAACTATCCTCGTTTTCTTCTGATTCAATGTATTGAATGTTTCCTACTTCTCTCCTGGAAATTTCTGCGCCCAACATGGTTTTCTTACTGTCTCAAGTATTGGAGACAAAGCTAGCTTTCTGCCCCTCAGCTGGTTATGCAGTACCCTCATTATCGGTCCATTTTAACCAAGCGAAGATGTTATACGACGCCGTCAAGTTATGTGACTTTCCGATACGTCACAAACATTTATGATATGTGACGTCATATGATGACGTTTTCACATAATGATGATTTCTTGCATCACTCGTGTTCATGCCGCCCATGCAAGAAGACACCGGATGCCGCTGGCGATCAATTTTCGCTTTTGGTGAGGCATTTAAACCTATCGCCTTAATGTATTGTACGGCAGTAGCTCCGTGAAATTGCAGCTTCCGCTGGCATTCGGGGAGAACATGCTTGCAGTAATCAGGCAGAACTATTGGTCTTCTAATAAATCTTCGTACTACCCTCTAATATGTAGCCGTCTTTTACAACCTGAGTATTTTGTAGATTACAAGTAGTGGTGGCTGAAGACTGCCCATCACGTTTGGCAACATAGCAATTGGTGTCACTAAAGGGGAGTGCGCTGCATCCAAACAGTCAACAATTGAGTATATCAGTAACAACGCTAGCTCGCGATCACTGCCATGTGCAACACTAACATTATGCCCCGAAGCTGAATGGGAACCCATGGGCACCACACAGGCATTTGGCTCTACCCTGCTCGCTACCGAATTAAGACGCCAAAGGGAAGAAAAAAAAAAACAGAACTGAGCAGCCGGATATTAAGGCTACAACAATCTGTCCACGAGTACACAGACAAGCTCAAGTAACTGACCACAGGCTGCATTTTTCATGCCTGTCACCTTGGCTCAAGTTGAGAGTCGGCATTATACTTCATACTTTAACAGCGCCTGTTCAAAACATAGGCAATGATCACATAATTCACGCCACATACGGAGCTGTTCTAGTTTATTTCGCAGTGATTTAATTGCTTAAGCTTTGAAATGGTGAAATCACCTGCCATAGTTTCTCATTTTCCTACCCTTGCTTTTTCTCGGTGGCAACACATGTAAGGCTTTGCGAAGGAAACAGCTGATGACCTATATTCCTGGCTGCAGTCTAGTGGCATTTTGTGCTATTTAGTGCATGAACTCCAGGCTTACGCATAATGCGCTACGTCACTAAAGAGTAGCAAGCATCGGGGAACATTAGGCACCTAAGCTTTTAATATTAGCTCCTGGCAAAGGCTTCTCTTAAAAATTGACTTTCAGTTAGTTAAAAAAGCAACTCTCAGTCGCGGTGACAAAACGATCTTCTGCGCATTACTGGCATCAGTTACTGGTATCCGCCTAGCAGATGACGCGCGAGCGCCTCAATCAAGTAGTCGCGAACGACACATGCCTTTGAATTGAGCTAGGTGTCCAGAACAGCAAGCGCTTCATGATTATCGTTTTCAAATTTCTATTACATCTTAAGCAATGCAAATACAACCGAAAATCGAGCCGTTTAGCAGCTTCGAATGCAGCCGTGGCATTCGTTTGCATGAGAGACGACACGGCAGCATCTCTACTCCAGTTGTGGCGCCTGGCGGTGAAACGCCGCTCTAGCACTGACAGCCGCTTCCCATTGAGATTCGCTGCTTCGCCCGGGCACTGAAAAAATAGAGGAGCAATAAAATGCTGCCTGTTCGTTTCTGCTTGATTCATGGAAAAGAGAACCACCAAACGTTACCGTGGGGAATGGCGCGAGTGATTCGAAAATTTAATTTTCGCGTAGTTACGCTCGACAAGTAGCGTGGCACAGTTGAATCAAACAACGTATGCAGTCTCCAAGACAATGGTGGAAAATTGATCCACAGCCGTTTTTGCTACTGTGGCCCCCGCTGCTTTTGGTCTGCTGCTACTAGCCCAATAGAGCCGGGCAACGTTGTGCTCGGCAAGAGTGACGCGAGTTGGTCGCTACTTAAGGCAGGTAATTTGGAGTGCACTAACCCGAGGCGAACCACTAAAACGTGGTTTTATTTCAAAATAGGCCCTTCCTTGGCACAAAAGTAACACTATGGGATTTATGGACCCTTATTTCAACAATAAACGTCAATTTAAAGTTGCCTTTAGTGTCCCTTTAAAATCACTGTTTGAGCACAGGCCGTTCTGCTAGACTACCACTTTGGTGACAGTGTCACTTTGCCTGCTGTAGAATCTAACTTGTGCAATGATTAAAGCAATATTGTAGCCACCATCTGCGAAGCTGCCAATCATTGCATAGTTAGAGTGATATATCTCAAAGGTGATCTTCTTAAATTATGTGCCTAAAATAAACTGAGCTAAGTGTCAGCAGAACTAATGTCGACCACGTTGACCACTGTGTGCCTCGAGGAGAAGAAAAGTGTACAGTTTTCCAGACGCTGCTAGTTTGTCCACTACAGCGGCAGCGTCCCTCCGCCAGATGCTGTCTTTTAATGTAATCCTGTACAAGTTTACTTAACGATCTTTACCTGACGATCAGCACCTCCTTAACACTGCTCTTGCTAACATTTCCGAATGGTGTAACACATGGGACATGAAACTTAATATTGGTAAGACAGTATATCTTCGTTTCTCTCGCAGAAAAGCTCCACTTTCCTTTGAATATAGGCTAGGCTCATTACCATTGCATGAGGAAACGGCATACAAGTACTTAGGTGTAACTCTTACTAATACTTTGTCGTGGAATACACATATAAATAGCATTTGTTCTTCTGCATACCGCAAGTTATATTTTTTAAGACATAAGCTCAAACAGTCTCCTCCAGCTGTTAAATTACTTGCTTATAACACACTAATTAGGCCAAAACTCGAATATGCATGTGTAGTATGGGACCCCTTTACTAAAACCAACATTAATCACCTAGAAAATGTGCAAAGAAAAGCAGTCAGGTTTATTTATTCCAAATTTTCACCGTATGACTCACCCACTGAACTGATGCAGGCTAACAACATTCCATACCTTGCACTGAGACGGAAAGCTGCACGTTTGGAATTTCTTTACCTCCTTTGGAATCATAGCCAGGTGCTGTCTTTTAATGTAACCCTGTGCAAGTACCCTCTAAGAATGCTGATGTGAAAAATAGGTGGGATTATCCATTCATGAGCCACACGAAGGAGGTGCGGATGAGGAAATTGGCTTATGTGAGGTCACGTGACATGCCATGCGGCCGTCCCAATTTAGTCCATCGTGGGGATGCACCATTAACAAACTTTCATTAGGGAAGGAGATCATGGGGGGTGACGGCACTTATTGAAAGGTTTGTGAGTGGATGGCTGACAAGTAATCATGCTTTGGGGTTAAACACTCTACCAGTGTGGAAATAACCTAGTTTATTTCTTTGAACTTAAGTACGTAAGTAATTAGTATTGTTATGTAGAGCATTGCATACTTCGCTGTTATTGTAGCCTTGGGCAAATAGTAAATTTTATGTTCGAAGCAAATTTGAAGTGAATCGTGATTTGGTCAAATAATTTCGGATCAAATAGTATGTATCATGTATTACAAAGAAAAATGAGCATATTTGTTGTGACCTAACTAACCTACACAATAATTTCTCAAAATTGAAAAAGGACATGTGCAAATGTCATTTTGTTTCCGTTCAAAGGAAGAGAAGGCTACTTTGAAGAGCAGAATTTAACTATGGGCATGATGTAACTGATAGCATGTAAAATATGTTACACTTTTCCGTACTGAAAACATACAAGCCGGTACATGCAGTTTTTAATGTTTCAAAAATGACGAATCGATGGGAGGGTATTGTGTTCATTTATGCTTGAAGAGAGTTTCGCAACATAGTGTTTTTTTTTATAGGTAGGTATTTTCACGTTGTAGCACCCTTCACTGCAGTGAAACCATCTTAACAGGGGAGTTGCATATGGACAAATGTATACCAGTTCATTCATTTTGAATAGTTTGAAATGTCAATAACTTCAATTCCAATAGAAGCGCATTCGAATGCTGTAATATCTTTTGAACATTTGAAAATCCCGAATATTCGCTCAAGCCTATTTTTGTGCAATGCTGATGCTGCGCTGGTCAGCCGCACCAGGGAAAAGCCTTGGATTGCTGACAAGTTTAGTGGCTGGCATATTTTTCTTTTCATTTATGTGGTTGCCTTCCTTTTTTTTTGCGTTCATGAGATGGTTTTTGACATCGTGGCATACTTACCTTTTGCCCGGTAGTGTCCCACTGTGGGAGTCCACCCACTGTGTTCCTGAGTGCCTGCTCTGTGTACTAGTTGAAACTAGAGCACTTTTAAGTATTCTTTGCGCTCTATTGTTGAAGAGCAGGCATTGAAGTGCATCCCTTTCCCTACTTTCTCCCCATTATTATTATTATTATTATTATTATTATTATTATTATTATTTGTACAGTGGCAAGTTATTATGTGAAGCTGATTGAAAAAGTCAACTTCACCATGCGTGGCTCCCCGTCTTAGTAACCATGTGATGTCGTCTGTCTATCGTGCAGGTATCCCAGGATAAACAAGGAGACCCTCATGCCCATTGTGACCTCAATGAGTATGCCGTGCGACGAAGGGTGAGTGCATCTGGGCTTTTAGATTAAGCATGGTGTTAGGCAACAAACAGTGCTTGAAGCGATGGTCTGACAGGGTATGGGTGCGTGTGTGCTATGTTAAAAAGACCTTACAATCGCTGTTAACCGGTAAACGCAACTTGTCCAGTGGCAGATAGAGGATCTTTCGTGATGAATATGCCTGCAGAATTGGAACCACCACCTTAAAAAAACTATAGATGCAGTTGAATTGACTTATGTCAAAGCACTACTTCTTTACAGCAATGGCCAGACGAAAAGCTGTTACAAAAGATTGTAAGCTAGTGTGAACATAACAGTTAAATTCATTGCAAAATTCTATTTAAAGGGCCCTGCAACACTACTTCTGCATGATCGTAAAAACACTGCCGGTCAACCATAACATTTGCTCACATATGAATGGAACGTCCATTCTAGTTTTCTTGAACTTTGCACCCATTCCAGGTCATTCTGATGTGCTTACTTACTTGGTTAACTCTCTCAGTTTAGCGAAAATGTAGCTTCCAAAAAGTGCGTGAAATGTGTATTTCAAAAGTTATATGCTATACAACAAAAATTATTGCATATTTGAAATCTCTACACAAATACTATACATTAACTCAGCAAGTTTCTTCTCAATGAATAAAAAGATTGTGAAGAAAATTTCTAGACCCATGTGCCCGTGTGAAACCCCACTAATAATAATGACTCTTTTTACTATGCAGATGGTTTGAGTATAATCTAAACTTCAATGTATCCCACTCTTTCTTATCCCAAGCCTGAAATGCTAAAGGGACACTAAAGTCAACTATTAAGTCGACATTGATTATTGAAATGGCAATACAGAAACCTCGTAGGGTTACTTTTGTGCTAAGGAAGGGTCTATTTTGAAATAAAATCGTATTTTAGTACTGCACATTGGATTAGCGCACTTCAAATTGCCCACCTCAAGAAGTGGATCACGTCACTGTTGCCATGCACAACTTTGCTCGACTTTACTGCACTAGTAGCAGTAGACTGAAAGCAGCGGGAGCCACAGCAGCAAGAACGGCTATTGATCAATTGCCCGCTATTGGCCTCGAGATTGCAGATGTTTTTGTTTCAACTGCACCCCACTAGATGACACCACCTGTCTTGTGTAACTATGCGAAAATTGAATTTTTGAACCACTTGCGGCATTCCTCATAGCAACATCCCCCGGTTCTTTTTTCCATGAATCAAACAGAAACGTACTAGCAGCATTTTATTGCATCTCTTAATGCAAAGAATGTTCTTTATTTAGTGCAGTTAGATCAATTACTAGTGATTTATTGTAGGTGGTCTATCTGATGTCATTGGGATCATTTTGAAAATGTCCTACTGCGGCACTTGTCTTCTTGTGCATTTACCTTAATTTGTCGGTAAGTAGGGCACTGTTATTGATAATATTGTCATTTTAGATGTTGTCATACATTGAGCTTTCACTCAGACGTGAATTGTTATTTTACTTTAATGTCCCTTAAATTGGTTCAAAAAGTATTACTATCTGAGGTAGTGTAATTGACTTTTTTTTTCTTTTTTTTACGTGGGTGTCGATTTGCAGTGTTGGCGCCATTTTGAATCCAAAGAGCGTGTTGCAACTTATACTGAGCGCTACTGTACATAAATGTGTACACAATGTGCCTCAAAGGTTTAGACAACGGTTCCGTTTAGGTAGTCTTTGTTTGCCTTGATAGCACTATACTTGTGCATGCAACAGTTGACATTGAGGACTGTCCTCGTGCTCCATCTTGCAGCTTCTACCCTCCCGGCCACGGAGACTTCTACGCGTCATTCTGCCAGTCGGGGCTCATGGACCACTTTCTGACGGAAGGTCGCGAGTACTGCTTCATCTCCAACATTGACAACCTTGGTGCCACGGTCGATCTCAGTATCCCTTGCTTTCAAGTTTTATAGACGGCTTCACTCATGAGGAGCGTCGAATTTCCAATTTTTTTACAGCATCCTCGCAACAGCAGCTGGTCGGGGTGTCATAGTCCATCATAGCTATTGTGCACAATGAGAGAAAAAGAAAAACAAACAAAAAACATGGTAAAACTGGAATTCAGCGCAGGATTCTGCCTGGTACTCGAGTGTTCTGCTACAGAGCTATGCTGGTGCTTGAAACTTCTGTGGGAAAATACTCTACGTTTACAGGCATCATGTTGGACGAGTAATCTTGTTAACAGATGTAATAGTGCATGGCGGAAGAGCAACATCACATCGGACATCACAATTCATCATCATCATCTTCAGCAACAACAGAGTGTGAAGTCAGTGTGCACGCCCTTTGCCTCACAGACGCATAGTGGGTGCCTTGCTACTCCTCTGAAATATAAATTATGATGTAGTCGGTCGTTCTCTACTTAGCAATATGATGTTTGTTTATGGCATAGTGGGCACCTGCAAAAGATGCTTGAAGAGCACTTACAAATGGCTGCTTCTCTAGTTTTTGCTGAGTGTGTGTTAATGCTACACAGACCTGTTTTTTTTTTTTTTTAACATTTGCACTCTTAATACTTTATACAAGTAGGGAGAGCTTTCCTTGACTAGAGGAAAATGTGTTCAGACATCCTGAAAATGCTTCTGTCCACGAGCGGCAGTCAGGCCCCAGACTTCGTCATGGAAGTTACCGACAAAACGAGGGCCGACGTCAAGGTGTGTGCCTCATTACTTGTGTCTGCTCTTTTCACTTTGTAGCTGTGCGTATTTTTACATGTCTCTAGCATTGCTGTTAATCAATTCGAGCCCATTCCTTGGCATACAACTTCCTTAATGTGCACTTGTTAATTAACCAATAAGTCTTCTCAGTTGCTGTGAAAGGCCCAGCTTCATTAGCTGGCTTACAGCTTCTTTATCTGTATAAAATATTTCACTATGGTAGAATATTGCCGTCACATATTTGGTGGAGGACGACAGTGGGCCAAGAGTTCATAATTCACAAAAATGCGATGTCTAGCAACAGTGGCATGAAGCGAATCTAAAACGGGGCTGGTGTTTCGGGCCACATCGCTGCAGTTTTGCTGCATTTTCATTCGCATCCATGGGAGGGCAAAAATGATTTTTAAAGAATGTGTGCATGTTGAGCAACACTTCATGGCCACTTTGTTACAGACTCGGAAACTTCAGAAGGCTACTCGTGCAGCTGTGACGGCAGCTTGAAGTGGCACACAAATCTGTGACGGCTGTTCCATGAGTATTTTATTAATGAACTTCGTAGACAATGTTTGTGTGTTCGACCTATGATTTTTGCGATTGAGTGAAGTAACTGTTCGCAGGATCTGTACTGAACAGAATGAATTTTAGGCAGTCAGAACATTTTGTCAACAAAGAATTTTACCATGGGTTAGTAGTTAAAAGTTCGAAGTTTGTCTTACAATGAGGTGATGAATGAATTGATGTGCAGTGGTCTTAGTGAAGTGCTTTCACTGAGCAGCATTGTTGAAGAAGATGAAGATGGTAGACTGTTACACCGTGCTCCTTATTTTTTTTTTCCCTAATAAGGGTGGCACGCTGATTCAGTACGAGAACAAGCTTCGTCTGCTGGAAATTGCACAGGTTCCCAAGGAACATGTGAGTTCACTCATTTGCTCTGTATTAATTGTGAGCTAGTTGCCTTTCACATGCTTTCTTTTCTTTTAAACTTTTTATTTACTTTTCCAACAAGATATAGCTACTTTTGGTCCTTCGTCTGGCTTGGAAGTTGTAGATATCCAAAGCATGCACCATGCTTGGAACGCTAACCCTACGCAGATGGATGACTAGAACACGTCTCTGTAAAACTCATCCAAGTGGTTACGTGTCCCATTGCAAATTAATTGGGTTGAAGCAGCTAGCTGATTTTGTTAGGTTCATCCCAGTTAAAGGGAGTTTAGTAGCGATGCCAGGTAGTAGGCAGACGGCCGGTACGGACAAAAATACTGTAGCAGCCCAGCATCCACAGCTCGTGCACACGCTCGCGCATCGCACTGAGAGATGGTCCCACTGGTCATTACCTTGCGAATTCACCACTACAATACCCCGGCGATGAATATGAGCCATCCTAGTGACTCAAGGTGACGAGAGAACAGGAGGGTCGTAGTAGGGCTTGAGGCGACTGACATGGACCGTCTCACGACCAAGGCGGCGCTTTTCCGTGGACGGCTTGAGCGGTTCAATCACATAGGTGACAGAAAAGGGACGCTGGATGCCGCGGTAAGGGGCAAGTATACTTCGGTGCAAACCTAGGAGTCAGTCTAAAAGGCAGTTGGAGCCACACGAGAGAACTGACGAAGAAAGTGTCCTGAAGGAGATCACGGTCGTGGCAATCTCTTTGGAGGGCTTGAATATTGGCTTTGAAGGACCGTGCAAGCTGACGAAACTCTTCGGCATATTCGGCCATTTCAGAAACTAGGCTGAACTCGGAGGCATCAGGATTGTATCGCAGAATTGTGTCGAGTGTGCTGCATGGGTCACGACCGTATAAACGAAAAAAATGGAGAAAAGCCTGTTGTTGATTGAATCGCCGTACTGTAAGCGTACGTCACAAAAGGCAGATTCACGTCCCAATTGGAGTGGTCGGAATCAATATACATAGCGAACATGTCTCCCAGGGTTCTATTGAAACGTTCCGTTAGGCCGTTCCTCTGAAGGTGGTAGGCTGTTGATGTGCGATGTATCATACGGCATGAATGTAGAAGCCGCTGCAAAACTTCGGACAAAAATATGCGACCTCTGTCACTCAGGAGCTCCCGTGGTGCCCCATGACGAAGAAAGAACCGATGCAAGATGAAGGTTGCAACATCACGAGCACCAGCCAAAGGTAGCGCTGCCATTTCACCGTACCTTGTCAGATGGTTGGCAGCCACAATCACCCATCGATTACCAGCAACAGAGCACGGTAGCGGGCCATATAGGTCAATCCCAACACGGTCAAATGGGCGTGTAGGGCATGGTAAAGGCTGCAGTTGACCGGGCGAATGAGGAAATGTCTTGCGCCGCTCACACAAGAAACATGAGCGATTGTGTTTGCGTACAAATGTGTACATACCACGCCAGTAGTAACGTTGCCGAATCCGTTCATTCGTCTTTAGCGCATCGGCGTGTGCATGTAGCTGTTTAGCATAAAAATATTCGCAGATATCAGCGTATGACTGGGTATGACCAGCAGTCATTTACAACCCTTCACTTGATAGTTGCGAGGGTATAACAGGCCATCTCGTATGGTGAAATGTGCTGCCTGGCGACGAAGAGCACGCAGATAACCGGAAGTTGATGTGTCAGAAAGCATATTCAAGGGCGAGACAATCCAAGGGTCCTTCCGCTGTTGAGATGGCATGTGTGTGACGCTGACGGCAGAGAAGGAAAAGTCAAGGGCTGAGATTTCTGATTCATCAGATTTCACCGGTGATTGTGAAAGCGCATCTGCGTCAGAGTGCTTTCACCCCGATCGGTAGACAACGCGAATGCCGAATTGCTGGTGGTGTAGTACCAAACGCCCGAGGCGACCAGAAGGATCTTTCAGTGAAGCTAACCAACAGAGTGCATTATGTTCAGTTACCACATCAAAATTTTGGCCGTACAAATCGGGGCGAAACTTGTTCAACGCCCACACAATCGCAAGGCACTCTTTTTCGGTAACAGAATAGTTTGTTTCTGCCTTAGTCGGGGCGTGGCTGGCATAGGCAACCACATACTTTGTAAAACCTGGTTTGCGTTGCGCGAGTACTGCACCAAGGTCGACGCCACTTGCATCCGTGTGTACTTCAGTCGGCGCAGTAGGGTCGTAATGGCACAGTACACGTGGTGAGGTAAGGAGTTGGCGCAGTGTTGCGAAGGATTCGTCACATGCTCCTATCCGATTCAAAAGATCAGCAGGGCCAGCAAGGAGCTTGGTGAGTGGAGCAATGATGGAAGCAAAGTTACGGACAAACCGACGAAAATAGAAGCACAGGCCCACAAACCTCTGTAGTTCTTTACTGTAGTCGGCAACAGCATGAAGTTTGTCAGGGTCGAGAAGGATGCCGGCTTTGGAGACGACATGATCAAGTATGGTGAGTTGTTGAGCCCCGAAGTGACATTTCTTCAGGTTAAGCTGAAGCCTGTCGTTTGTAAGGCACTGTAAAATCTTACGCAGACGAGTGAAATGCGAAGTGAAATTGGTTGAAAAGACCACAACGTCGTCAAGCTAGCACAAGCTTATGTTCGATTTGAGACCGCGTAAAATGCTGTCCATCATTTGCTCGAATGTGGCGGGTGCATTGCAGAGTCCGAATGCCATTACGGTAAACTCATAGAGGCTATCCGGTGTGACGAACGCCGTTTTTAGACAATCAGACTCAGCCATTGGGACTTGCCAGTAACCTGAGCGAAGGTCAAGCGAGGAAAAGAATTCTGCACCTTGGAGACACTCTAGAGTGCCGTCTATGCGGGAAATAGGGTAAATATCTTTCCTCGTAGTGTTGTTTAGGCATCTGTAGTTTAGGCAAAATCGGATTGAGCCATCTTTTTTTTTTTTTTTTTTTTATTTTTTTTTTACGAGTACAACTGGGAAAGACCAAGGACTACAAGAAGGCTTGATGACTCCGCGCTGTAGCATGTCGTCTACATGTTCTGCAATTACGCAACGCTCCACTGGCGACACATGATAGGGGCGCTGGCGCAAAGGAGTACTCTTTCCCATGTCAATTGTGTGAACAACAGTGCTCGTTCTTCCTAGCAGCGCTTGGGGAAAGCCAAATGAACGCCTGAATTCGTGCAACAGGGAAGAAGCTGCTCTCGTTGAACCGGGGCGATATGGATGTCAATAGAACGGTGAAATGCATTGAAAGACATGCTGTCCGAGGCAAGGTGAAGAACCAACGCGTCCAACTCCATATTCGGCTTGATGTCGAAGAAATTGGCAGGCACGATAATACCTTCATCGATAGTCTGAACGTGGCCGAGCATCTCGTTACGGCACCAACTGAGGGGGCACGAGTTGGGATTGGAAATAAATATTCCGGTAGTGTCTTGACAAAGCGCTAAAACGGCGAATGGGAGTGATGTGTGGTGGCAGCTACCGAAGTTGTCAGATAGCAAGCATGAACAGAACAGTAGCGTCAGGAAGTGAAGCACAGTAGGCAGGGACGAACTGGGCACTTAAAGGAGGAAGGTCAATGTCCATCACGACTACAAGGTTGGCCGCACTAGATACAGCCGCATCAACCAAAGGCGCATCACGAAATGGAAACAGCTCCACTTCGGCCCGAGCGCAGTCCAAGACGGCGGGTTGACGTGGTAAGAAATCCCATCCTAGAATGACATCGTGGGAATATGAAGCCAACAAGTCGAATTCAGTGGTGTACAACTTGTCTCGGATTATCACTTCTGCTGTACATGCCGCAACGGGCTCAATTTGTTGGGCGCTCTCAGTGCTAAGGGAAACTACGGGAGAAAGCATCGTCACTTTACGAAGAGAGCGGCAGAGTCTTTGACTTATCACAGATATCGCGGCACCAGTATCGATGAGTGCAAGTGTTCGTACACCTTCGACGATGACATCAATAAGATTGGCGGAGGAGAGGCGAGGACTTAGATGATTAGACGACGCAGCTCGTACGTCCGGAGCTGCAGCAGTTGGTTTTCGGTCTCAATGGAGATGGGTCCTTGACGCAGAGTCGACACAGAATGACGACTTGTTGAAGGGGAAGGCGAGTGGAAAATAGAACGTCGAGAAGCGGAGATTCGGATAACGGAAGCGGCTTGCGGGTCATGTTCGTGAACATCAGGTGGCATGTGAGGTTCGTGGTATGGAGGTTGTAACGAGTAGTCAGAGTATCTTGGTGCCTCCGGGCTCACTGTGAAGCGCCGATGACATAGACGTGCAACGTGACCTGGAATTCCACAGAAGTAGCAGATGGGGCAACTGTCAGCAGTGCACCAGGGATTTCCGGAGTGCTACTCTGTGGCTTGAAACGTGCTGTGGACAGTTGCACAGGTTGCAGGGTATGCAATGGCAGACGACGTGGTGGCGTTGCCACGACAGCCGCATAAGTCAGTGGCGCGGCGACGAGTGTTGGTAGAGAGGCAGACGTCAGCAATGGCAACGCTTCGAAGGCCTGCTCCTGAATAGCCTTTCTGATGGTCGGCGTTAGGAGTTTTGGTACTTTGGTGGTCGGCACATACGGGAGACACGAAAGCTGTTGTGGAACCTCTTCGCATACATATTCTTTTATCTGCACCAGCAGGGTGCTGTCACCACCGACGGCCAGGGCAGCGAGAGAGTCGTTTGCCGTCGTTGTTCTCCACACTTATGCACGTTGTTAGCGGATCTCTTCCAAGCTCTGGCACAAGGTCACAAGTTCGGACACGGTACTTGGGCCCCTCGCGAGCAACATTTGAAAGGCATCATTGTCTATGCCTTTCAAGATATGCCTGATCTTGTCCTGTTCGGTCATCTCAGAGTGAAAGCGCTGGCATAAATCAATGACATCTTCGATATAGCTTGTGAAGCTTTCGCCCTGCCTTTGCGCACATCCGTGTAGGCGCTGTACAGCACGGAGCTTGCGCACTGCAGGGCGATCAAACACAGCTGCAAGGGTGGTCTTGAAAGTGACCCAAGTGGAATATTTGGCCTTGCTGGTTTGTGAACCACAAGCTGGGGACGTCTTTGAGGTAAAATGGGACATACTCCAATTTTGAGGGGGGTCCCACTTATTGGCGGTACTCATCTTTGCTGCCAGTCTTCTTGGTCCTCGGTGCCGCTGAAGAAGGGGGGATCTCGTTGGCGCAAGGTTGTAGGCACGATGACCAGTTGTGATTGGGCCGTGCTTTGCTGGGCGGCGCCTTGCTCGGTGGTCTGAGCAGGCATTGTTGATGCAGCGGGAAGTTTTCGGCTTTGAAGTTCCAGATTTGCGTACCCAGCACACTTCCACCACTTTGAAAGAGAGTTTAATAGCGACACCAGGTACGGACAAAAATACTCGGAACAGTCCAGCGTCCACAGCTCGTGCACACGATCGCGCTTCGCACTGAGAAATGGTCCCACTGGTCATTACCTTGTGAATACACCACTACAATACCCCAGCGATGAAGATGAGCCATCCTAGTGACTCAAGGTGACGAAAAAACAGAAGGGTCGTAGTAGGGCTTGAGGCAACTGACGTGGACCGTACTCAGCGACCAAGGCAGCACTTGTCCTGTGGACGGTTCACCGCTACACCAGTAACATTGTTGTCACTGTAGTTTATAATGAAGCAGAAACCAGTGTTTCGGCCATTGATTCAGATATTTTTTGCACATGCGTGCATTACGGTGTATCAAGCATGCTTGAATTTGTCATGGCATGCGCTAACCATTATGTGCTGGTTAGTCATTGCTGTCAGATTGCCTTGGTGGAATAGTGTTCCTTTTCATTTATAACCGACCTGGCTGAAGAAAAATTTTCTTTCTTTTTGAAGTTAATACTAGTATTGAAAAACGGGTAAGGCCCCTAAGTAACGGTTATTTTGAGCACTGTTCAAAGTGCTCAAAGGGCATAGCATTTCTTGTGTTGCTCATACTTCTGTGCCCATGCGTGTGTTTGTATTTGTCAGTGGTGCAGTAAACGTTTTTTGCATCTTGAATAGGGTTGTGCGAATTTGCATTTCATGGTAATGGCACCCATGAGGATAGAATGATTTTAAAACTGCAGACAGAGACACTTTCTCTTTGTGTTGCTGCTGAATTGCTGCATATCTTCCCTACTCTGAAATGCCTTCCATTCCTTTCAGGTCGATGAATTTAAGAGTGTAAAGAAATTCAAGTGAGTTTCATTGCTTCACTTCTTTTGTAGCTTAGCAACGCGCATGTTTGGGCCATTTGGTATTCCATCATGTCTTCCTCTTACAGTCTCGGCAGACAACAGCGCTTTGCGATAGAATGCGAGACGGGTAGTAACCGTGGAGCCGAACCATGAGAATGAAATAACTAGAAGAAATAAGGGTTGGGTGGAGGACATTTGGCAAGCGTTATCAAATTATGAATGGTAGTCTACAACTATCACGTAAAAGAAGGTATATGACAGCTACATCTTAACAGTACTTATGTACAGAGCAAAAAGCTGGAGGCTTACTTAAAGGGTACAACTTTCATTGAAGAAGACGCAGCGAACTGATGGGAACATAATATGATAGGTATAACCTTAGAAGTCAAAGAGACTAGGATGGGTCAAGGGGATTAAGGTTGCTATAGTTGAAATCAAGAAGAATAAATGGACATGGTTCGAGCATGTAGCACATAGGCATTATAACCGCTGGTCATTAAGGGTAACAGACTAAATTCCAAGAGAAGGCAAACGTGTGAAGGGGAAACGGAAAGTTAGGTGGGCCGATGAGATTAGGAAGTTTGCGGGTAGATTAAGGCAGTACAAAGCAAAGGATAGGGTTAATTGGTGTTACATAGAAGAGATCTTCGTCCTGCAATGGGCGCAGTGAGGCTGATGATGATGATTTCTTTAGTGCAAAAAACTTTGAAACAAGGGACAAAAGGTGTGTGTGTCCCATTATCAGTGCAGTTGTCCGAGTCAGTTAGTAAAAGATGTAAAGTGATACGGCTGTCTTGTCCTGTGCATGCCTTTGTTCAAGTGCTCACATTTGAAACTTGCTGAAACCCATCACTTCACATCGTGTCGCTTCATTATTTTTGTCCCTTGCTTCAGGAGGTCTTTGGCTAAATAAAAGTTAGGGAATCCACTTGTTAGTACCTCAAGGCACCTTTGCCTTTTGTTCATTTTTGTTATAAGTCAAGTTGAACATTCCTTTTCACATGTTCTTCTTTACGTGTTGCATGCAGGATCTTCAACACAAACAACCTGTGGATGAAGCTGAGCAGCATTGGCCAGCTTGTTGAGACTGGTGGCATCGACATGGAGGTCATCGTTAACAACAAGGTTTGTTCAGTGTCAGCCCTTTTTCCTTTTTTGTGTGTGCACCGTTTGGATGCCATCGTGGAGTTTAAATGCCAATATACTCGAGGGAAATGTAACGCTTGTGTCTATTTAAACTGTAGTGCATTGTACCTCAGCCATTATTGGGATGATGGACTGTGCATGGAGTCACCTAAGATTTGTTCTTAAGGCTCTGTGTGGCCCGCTGCCACTTTGTTGCAAGACAAAGTTCAGCAAAAGTTCAGCAGTCTTACTTCACCACCTTGACCCTTTTTAGCCTGGCCAGTTAAAATCAGCTCACAAGGTTCACAATGTGCCATCGAGCCATCCTTTTATCCGAAACAAAAGACGAAACACAGCAATAAACAAAGCCACAAGCACGTCATAGCCACAAGCATGAAGACGAGGCTAATCCACGTTCATTGTCCTCATGGCGGCTGAACAATCACAACAACCACATTTTCTTTAGTAAATATTTTAGGAAACATCATGGGTGCAGTGGTGTGCTCTGACATTTTGTCATTTTCTGGAACAGACTTTGGACTCGGGCATCAACATCATTCAGCTCGAAACGGCAGCTGGAGCAGCAATGAAGGACTTCCAGAACGCCATTGGTGAGCCGACAATGTTCCGATACCCTTTCTATCAGTGGCTGTTACTAGAAGGTTGTACTAGCCTGGAGAAATCAGCTTGCACACCTGATATAAGGCCTTGATTTGTGATAATGTCGGGGGCTTCATCAGAATGCTCTATTTCTCATTGCAATTTTTGCAAATGTGTTGAATGTTTTTTTGTGAGGTTTTTGTTTTATTGAGTTTTAATACTTCAATATAGGTTACAGCAGTACCTTCAAAGGTCTTTTAGTGTTTAAAGGTATGTTGATGGGATTCCGAATTGCATTTTTATATCTGTAAGTCATCTTATTATGCACTGTGTATCATTGATACTTCCCAGTTAGCATTGTAGTGTACGCAAGAATGTTGCCCATGCACTGGAATTGCACGGTAATGCATTTTTTGACAAACTTGAGGCACTTACTGCTCGTGCCGCTGCTACTGTCTTGCTACGAACGAGAACTATAAGTATGGTAATGGCGCTTACAGTATCAACAGTGTGATAGGCAACCAACAGACAATCATATTATCAGTCATTTTGCCGTATCTGTGTGTGCCGCTCCTTTTTTAGTGAACGCTCTCACGACGACCCGCAGGCATCAACGTGCCGCGCAGTCGTTTCCTCCCGGTGAAGAAGACCTCTGACCTGCTCCTGGTGATGAGCAACCTGTACCACATGAAGTTTGGCACTCTGGTGATGAGCCCCAAGCGTGCCTTCCCCACTGTGCCCCTCATCAAGCTAGGGGACAACCACTTCTCCAAGGTATGGGCACCGCAGCACTTTGGGAAAATCCTACATGAAATATGTTAGTACTAGCATTCTTGAAGTTGCGTTTGCTCTGCTATGCAAATCTCCCGTGTATGGAGACGACCCTAAGCAAGTGTGAAGGTCAGTGAATGCTGACAATGTATGTTATATTAAAATGGAAGTCAATTTTTGCATGGCACACCTGTTTTCATTGACACAACCTTACTAATAATTAACAGTTAACCCAAGGAAAGTATAGGGAAGTTTAATTTTTGAAATGGTACATAATGTGGGGAAATTGTAGCGGATGAAAAGCCAACTCGCTGCGGGCAGGGACTGAACTTCTGACCTTCGAATAACGCATCTGATGCTCTACTGATTGGGCTACGGCAGTGGTTTTTCTCCCATTCACGTTGTGAGGCATATGTGTGCCTGGGTGTGTTTGCGCCACTTGTAGTAATGTGACTCATGACGGCGAGTATGTTACCGTTTTTTTTCCTTGCTGGCATGACATAGCACTTGATCTTCTGATGAGCTGGTAGCTGACCGCTAATTTCGCATGCTACCTATATGGATGCCTTCGTAGATGGTGGGAGGCATTCGGCAGGGCTACTTACTGCTATATACACCCCTGTTATTAACTTCCAATTTTGAAGACTGACAAATGCTTGAATGATTACGAGGTGTTTTTTGCTCACGAGTCGACGGCCCTGCCACGCTCTTCAAAAGTGTATCCTGGCATTTTTTGCTCATCAAGTCGCTACTGTGCTTGGGTGCGCGTTGAAAAAAAAGTGGCTTTTCGCCATCACTGGGCTTTCCTTATCCAGCCATTGGTGTTGACATGTCATGGCGGCCAGCTGCCTTTGCCATACAGTTTCCTAAAATTAACTAAAGGGTTCTCTGGTGCTGTAGCGACCAGTCCTAGTCTTCGTACTTGTGGGCAGTGACTCGCACTTCTGGCTTCGTTTATGCTGTGTTTAGATTTTGTTTTGAAGGATTGAACGAACTCTTCTGAACTTCTTGACCTGATTTCAAATGGTAAGCCTAAAATAATAAGGTGGTGAAGGGTAACTGCTGAGCTCTTGCTGAATTTTGTTTCATGAGAAAACAGCTCCAAGCCACACGAACACACACGAAGCCAGAAATACGAAGATTAGACAAGTCCGTGTACTACCCATCATTCCCAATGCCCGCTGAAGCGCCGCACATTGCAGCTCCTATAGACACTAGCGCCAAAGTTTCCTCTAGTGTATATTTAGGAAACTGTATGGCCTTCGCGCGGCAGTTGCGAGAGGAATAAAAAAGCGTATGCTTTGGCGCGTGTGGACCTCAATCAAATTGCAGTGATCCCACTCCTGCACCAATGTGTGCCAAATAAAATTGACTACACTACCCTGATAATATCCACGATAATTGTGCCAAGCTGTGCCAAAGTCGGATTTGGAAGTGTCTCTCACCACAATGTTCACGCCGGCACATCAAAACATGTGCACCTTTTTCCCGAGGTCACAAAAGTCACAATCACGTGTCTAGAGTCATTCTGCTGAATACACAGAGGTCGAGCATGCGTCCTAAATAATCCACGATGCTATGTTTGGTGCCAATGCAACTTTTGTTGTGCAAGTCTGCTTAATAGCGAAATGCGCTCTCAGCAGGGGTCGTGACGTCTTATTCCAATAAGTAGCGTGAAACTGCGGCGTCGATTCATCCGTGCAATTCGTCCGTTCCAGGAACGCTGCTGATAGCTTGTTTGAAGAGTAGCTCGGCTCGTAATTGAAGCGATGTTTACTAACTTCATGTGTGCTGCCAGAATGTTTGTCACGTCTACCTCTAAACATCGCAATCTAATTTTCTGTGCTTTGCATTCACAGAAGAACACGTGAACGGAGAAAAATAGGATGACCCTTTTTCTCTAATATACTTTATTCCTGGAGATTCATTCAGAAAAGCTTTTTCGTGATGTCTTCCATCAGCACACCCACGTTTGTAATGGCTATTGCCGAAAAAGCTCCCAAAAGACCCTGCCCTTTCGATCTTGAAGTTGCTAGGGTACGAATACAAAATTTTCGCATGCTTTCTTTTAGAATGCAATCTCATTGATGAAAGCATGCCTCCTGGACGGAGCAGCTGCAATTCAGTTTTGATATGCGCAGCTTGCAGTAGTGGCGCCATCGCTGGGGGCTCTTGTCGGAAGGCCCACTGTGGAACGGCTACGCCTGTTACACGTACGCCCCTCGCTTTCCAGAGTCAGTAGCTGACGGTTAAAAAAAATTGAACATTTCAGCATCGCATTTATCAGGTCCGTTCGATTCACCTGGACCAATCGGAACCAGTTCACAACTGTGCATGCAAAGTTCAGAAATGGTGCCGCGTGAGTTCAGCGGTGTGGGCAGAGCGCGACGCCCGGAACAAATGACGATGTTTCGACAAGATGCAGGCCTTATTTCTGTTAGCTTAATTTACACCGTTCAACTAGCACTGATCGATGGCGAACCGCACATGCGGACAGTTTATGAGGCGCAAACATCTTGGCAAAATACACCGCGTTAGTAGAGGCAGGTACAACGGCTACGCCTAAGGGCTGCGTCGCATGCTCAGCTGCACGTGCGGCTGCACAAAGCCGGCACTGTCAGTGTAGGAGGTACTGGAAAATCGTGAAGCAGTGCTGCACCTCTTGTGCACCTTTCGAAACAAATGGCAGGGCTCAGAGATCGTCAATGCTGCACTGCTGAAATGAATATGGAAAGGTGGAGCACCTCGTGAACTGGTTCACGTAATGCAGGCGAATTGGGCGGACGTTTTTTTAATAGTCGGTTTTGGGGAGGCTGTGTCACTCGAAGGGCGCAGTCGCTAGTGCGGGCTATATTTTAAGGCATAACGACGCTGCTCAAAAACGTTCTGTGCTACTGACCTCTCTTTCATGTTTACATAACTGACAACTGGAGTCAGTTACCGCTTCGGCAACTGGAGTGGTCATTGGCCCTTTAGCCAGTGTTCTGTTGAGTGCGACATCGTGTCCAAAAGATACAATTTGTTAGTTTCATTTAAGCTCTTTGCAATTAATTCGGTACGAACAAATTGTATTGTTATAACTAATTATAAGGCTTGATGTCATCTGGAGGAGCACACTAGCGGTGGGGTTGCCATACCGGAGGACCCTGCAGGCGCAGAAAACTTGCTGCACGCGTGGTGTTCGATATTCGTACAGCGACTTGGGTGACTAGAGACTCCTGGAACACCTCTTGCATATAGACGCACATACAGATAGAATCAGACTTGTCTAGACCACCCAGCCGGTTGCTCCAGCTGCTGTTTTTAATTTTTTTTTCAGAAGTGTGTAAAAAGAGACATCGTAATGATATCAAACATGGTCATACTGCATGTTAAGTCCCTGTGCGGTTAATATAAGGATGTACGGAAGCATGTAGCTAACCTGAGATAGAAACTGCGGCCAACAACAGTGTCGGCAAGCATGCACTCTGCTGGTTTAGATAAGTGGGATTTTATGAACAGGGACGGTGCATACGAATGGACCTCCAAAATGGTGCTACTATAATGTGGCCGCTTTGCGATGAAGGCTCAGTGCACACCCCTATATGGCCGTTCCAGATAGCAAAGCACTTTTGCCCAATCAGTTTGTGTTGAGAGTAAAATCTAGAAGGGTATACCAGCCGTCTTTAATGCCTGCCGAAATAGCGAGCACGCCAGTGATAACACCCGTAAAGTCAAAGTTCGTATAACACCCTCCTCCACCCTCCTCTTTTTGCGGTCCTAGTTCTTTCCTGCTCCTTGAAGATGAATGGGGCGTTCCTCTCTGATTGGGTAACAGTCGATGACAGGCCTGACACATGAGTTGATGTTATGGTATCTATCCTCCGTGCAAAGGAGATACGTTGGCTTTTTTTAATCTCTTTAGCCGCGTTCATCGCTCCCGTTCGCGCTCTTTTACCTGTGTCTTAAACACAATGCGCGGGAGGATGTTATCAGTTTCGACACTGCCAGCAGTGCAGCAGGGGTGGCGGGGTGCACATCGGGAATGCCCCCCACACTCTCCGCGAAAATATTTTTGCTATGCATATGTAGCGCAAAATGACCCCCCTCCCCCCCACCGCCCCAGTGTAAATCAAGGTGGCCGCCTCCAAAAAAAGTAAAAAAGCAAAATATTCTTGCTTACACTACTAGTGATGGCGAAAACCAGTCGAGAATGTACATACAATTGCTATCGCAATAAAAACAAAATGGCTCTCGACGTCGAGTTGTCTTAGGCGAAGACACGAGGTACCCCTCGTGTTTTTTTTTTTCTTTTTGTACTGCTTGCAAGAGGACAATATAGGGGTTTTTCGGTGTATAAACAGAACACTCTAGCCACATATAAAACACCACTGTAAAAGGAAAATGAAGTTGTTTGTTAAATCGTACAGTTTCAGCACAGAGAGACGAGTGCCGGAGGAGGTCGGCTTTATGAGACTAGCTTAATGACATCATGTTAACACCCGGCAATGTGATCAGTTGTGAAGAAAAAGAACCTGTTTTATCTTTGAATTCATCTTACAGAAATGCAGTTGGGACTGTGAGTATCTAGCCTTGTACATCACAACGTTTGTGTACCAAATCTACTGATTACCACAAGGGTGTATTTAGGATGTTATTTCATGTACTATTTTATTCAACCAGTATTCTGCTTATTTGCCACAAAAATGCTCACTGAGCAAGTTTTTACAGAATGTTCAACAGCATGACATTATTTTTGCATCATTAACTAAAATAGGAAGTGCTCCTAAGATGTTTGGCTTCATGAGGTTTGCAATAAGATGAAATATTTCTAGCTCTTCACAAGAGCCCAAAAATAATTGTTCATATCCTTAAATATAAATGCAACTTGCTTCTCAGTCAGGTTGTGAGGTTAACTGCTCCGGATCGCTCCAAAATGGAAAATTTTGCTGGTCCAAAGTGCTCCAAAATAGAAAGTTTTGCTGCTCTAAAGTGCTCCAAAGTGCAAATTTTTTTGCACCAAAATGCTCCAAAATGTAAATTTTGTTGCTCCAAATCAGCATTACCTCAGTGGCATCAAATTTTGCTGCCCTCGCAGTTCACGACAGTCGATCAGCATCGTCAACGAGACTTATTTGCTTTTCGGCGCAATTTGAATCTCACTAAAAGGCTTGTTTGTATGTTATATGCAATGATTGGTAAGAACGATCGCCAATGTGTTTCATTTGATGCGTGAGCACTCGGCACTGCCTGGAAACAGCCGCTGATATTTGTGCTGTCGACAAGTGGTCCCTGTCATCCTCTTGGGGCGTTTGGTCATGAGCTTGAAATGCCGTGAATTCTGCCGTTTTGTCCCTCCTGTGTCTGTGGTGTGCGGTGCTTCACATGCTTGTTCTTACACCAGTGACTGCGACAGGTGATGGTAACTACTTTTCATTTCTGGTGAGGCTTCCATGGCGGGAAAACATAGTCGGCAGTGCGCAAAACGAGAATCAAGCGGTTGAGGAAAAATCTAGAAGAGTGGAAATTTGTCAGCTATAAAACTGCAGTTCATGATTATAACTTGCCACTAAACTATTTCACCTCTTCTATTCTAATAGAGAAGTAAAATAAAGTGAACTGAGGCTTTATCTTCACTGAAAATGAGGGCTCTAAGAGGAACTACTTCATGAACGATGTGCACTTGAGAAGCTTTGGTCTAAGCGCTGGCTCTTTGCGCAAAACAGTTGGCCGCAGTGTCACGATGACACGACGACGCTATTAGCTATAGGGGTGTTCCTTTGACTTGTGAAAAGCCGCTTTTTTCTTTACTTGTACTTGTATACTGTAGTTAGGGTGCAGGTCTTTCAAGTACAAGCAGCGTTGTGCTAATGGAATTGAGTTTTCTTTATAAACTCGCCTCAGCCCAGTGCATGGTGGAATTATGGGAGTTTCGCCTCTTTATGCAATGCAGGTTCGAGATTTCCTGAACCGGTTTGCCAGTATACCAGACATTCTGGAGCTGGACCATCTTACTGTGTCTGGTGATGTCACTTTTGGCAAGGGTGTCTCCCTCAGGGTGAGTCATCTTTGAAAGGTGTCCTTGTTGGAATATGTGTGCTAGTGTGTGTACATGCTGTACACTCAAACCTGGATATAGTGAACCCAGGTAAAACGAATTATCAGTTATAAGGAAGTAAATGAAGAATAGTCTTGCAATAAGTATAGAGGTAGGAATATAGGAATATATCTCTGTAACAAATTTTTGGATATAACAAACTTGATTTTGTATAAGGTTCAACTTGGTTGTTTGAGATATATATAGGTATACATATATCTATATATAGTGCTATATACAAATACAGGAATTATGATAGACAGGCAAGTATGTATGTATGTACGTATATATACAGACATACATGCCTGCCTGCCACTCATATTTCCTTATCTCAGAGTAACGATGACAGTTTTATTGCAATGACAATGATATGGACGCTTTTGATGGATTTTTGCCATCGGCATTTCTCGTATTAAGTACAATAACATTGCCCCACACCTCGCGTATATAACACCCCACACCTCGCATTGCCCCGCACCTCACACCTCCACGAGTAAAAGCACACTAGCACTGGCGATAAATACAGCTTGTGCAGAGATCAAACGAGCCGGTCATCTCTGTTCAGAGTGAGCATGCGATAACATCACACAGCATACCGAGGCCTGCTGCTGATTGCTGCTCGAGTAGAAAAGAAACACCCTACTTGTCCTTTGTCGGACAAAAGAGCATAAGAGGACGCTTGAGAAGGGGGGCTGCATCACTTGGGCAGCAACTGCAACCTTTGATCATGAGGGCGGAGCTGCGAGCGCTGCCGTGTATGCTTCCTTGGCAAACATTGGCAAATGACTTCCCAAAGGGTGATAGCTCCTCACAGTGACATAATAAACACAACAAGTATATACTGTCACTAACAAAACAAGACCTGCCGCCAAGAGTTCACTTGAACCAGAGCAAAGAAGATGTTCTCTTCTTCTTCGCTGCCCACAAACGCGTATGAGCCACAGTGGCTCGTTCATCAATGGTGGCATTACCCCCTCTCCCAAAAAGCATCGTCTCGATGCTGTACATGAAGGCAAAAAAAGAAAAGAAAATTATATGAAAATTAGCATGCGAGCAAAATGAATGGCGTAAGGCGGAATAACGTAGTTGGTTGTGGGGACAAAAGTTAAATGAGAAATAAGAAGAATAGGAAAAATGTAAGGAAAAGACGAAACAAAAAGAAAGACGCGAAGTTACTAATAAAGTCGGTCACTCACTGGCGATTCACAGCGCGAAAAGTATGGTTTGAGACGTGAAACGTGAATGACTTCAGTTTGCGGGGTGAAACGGGAACGTCTCGAATTGTCTTGTGGGAGAACCTCGTAAGTGACGTCGCTGAGACGTCGCACAACCTTGTAAGGGCCGAAGTAGCGGCGAAGAAGCTTTTCTTAACGTCCATGCTGTCGGATAGGGGTCCACACCCAGACTTCATCACCTGGCTTAAAAATAACTTCACGGTGGCGAAGATTGTAGCGGCGCGCGTCTGCGGTTCGGCGACGTTGAATACGGTGACGAGCAAGTTGACGGGCCTCTTCTGCGCACTGCGCGAATTTGGCGGCATTCGTGTGGTATATTCCTAAGTTGTCGGGCAGGAGCATGGCGTCGAGCATCGTCGTGACGTCGCGACAGTGGACTAAGCAAAAGGTGTGAAACCGGTACTTTCTTGAACAGTAGTGTTATACGCAAAAGTTATGTAGGGAAGTATGGTGTCCCAGTTCTTGTGATCGATGTCCACATATATTGACAGCATGTCTGCAATTGTCTTATTGAGTCGTTCAGTCAGCCCATTTGCTTGCGGGTGGTAAGCCGTTGTTTTACGATGTTCCGTGCCACTTAATCGCAAGACTTCCTGCAGCATCTCTGCGGTGAAAGCTGTCCCACGATCAGTTATGACGACAGCTGGAGCACCGTGACGTAAGACGATGCTGTTAACAAAAAATTGGGCGACATCTGCTGCGGTTGCTTTTGGAAGTGCCTTGGTTTCACAGTAGCGTGTTAAGTAGTCTGTAGCGACGACAATCCACCGGTTTCCAGACGAAGACGTGGGGAATGACCCCAGCAAGTTCATGCCAATCTGATGAAAGGGCGCCTTTGGTGGGCCAATTGGGTGCAGTAGTCCCGCTGGTCGTAAAGGTGGAATCTTACGTCGCTGACAGTCGCGACATGTGCCAACGTAGTGCTTCACAGTCTTCGCGAGACGTGGCCAGTAGTAGGAGTGTTGAATCCGTTGCAGCATGCGCGTATAGCCGAGGTGTCCGGATGATGGCTCATCATGACATGCACATAAAATGTCACCACGAAGCGTGGTTGGCACAGCAAGCAGATACATAGCTTGTGTAGGATGAAAGTTCTTTTTATAAAGCACTCTATCACAGAAACAAAAGGAAGATAGTGAGCGTGCAAAGCTTCGAGGAAGGTGGGAATTGCGTCCTTCCAGGTAGTCAATGAGCGGGATGAGCTCCGAGTCGTGACGCTGTTGCTCAGCTAAGCTGGTTGCTGATACGGCAGAAAGAAAAGTGTTGTCGTCTTCAAGGTCAGTGTTGGCATTTTCGACCGGTGCACGTGAGAGACAGTCGGCGTCGTTGTGTTTCCGCCCAGATTTGTGGACGATGGTGACATCAAAATCTTGTAGCCGAAGGCTCCATCGTGCTAGACGACCTGAAGGATCTTTGAGATTCGCGAGCCAACAAAGGGAATGGTGGTCGCTAACTACCCTGAATGGGTGGCCATACAAGTATGGGCGGAAGTTTGTTATGGCCCAGACAACAGCGAGGCATTCCTTTTCGGTTGCAGAATAGTTTTTCTCCGCTGGGGATAACGTTCTGCTCGCATAAGCGATCACGCGCTCTACGCCATTTTGCCACTGAACTAATACCGCTCCTAGTCCAACGTTGCTGGCGTCAGTGTGTAATGCCGTGTCAGCGCTTTCGTCAAAATGACCTAGTACAGGCGGAGCCTGGAGGAGGTTTCGGAGGGTGTCGAACGCATGGCACTGATCGGGACCCCAAACAAACGAGACACCGTCTTTTGTAAGCTTGTTGAGGGGTTCAGCAATCTTCGAGAAGTTTTTGACAAAGTGCCTGTAATACGCACAGAGCCCCAGAAATCGGTGTAGGTTGCGCTTATTTGTGGGCACGGCAAAGGCGGCAACGGCGCGGGTTTTCTTGGGATCTGGGCGGATGCTGGCATGGCTCACAACGTGACCAAGGAACTTCAGTTCTTCATATCCAAAATGACATTTGTCGGGTTTGAGAGACAACCCCGCTGTTCTAATTGCCTGAAGAACTGCATGAAGGCGTTGGACGTGTTGTTCAAACGTGTCTGCAAAGACCACGACGTCTGCAAAGACCACGGAGCAGAAGACGATGAGGGCAAACTGGGTGACAAAGACCGGCGAGGCGATGGTGATCTCGACTGGTGGTGCCAAATAGTCGAAGGAGTACGTTGGCCCGTGAGATAGGCTTCAATTTCGCGGGGGCGCTCACCGTAGCGCGGGCATCGAGCATCAAGGTGGAAGCCGCGGAGACCTAGTTGCCGGTATTGACAGTTCCGGTATACGTGACCCACTTCGCCACAGTGATAGCAGAGCGGACGGTTATCCGAGGTGCGCCACGTGCTTGCCTTGCTACCACTTTGTCTTGAGATAGACGGCGGATAGGTGAGTGGGCTCGAAAACCTTGAGCCGAGAGGTGGGCTCGAAGCAGTGTCGTGGAATGGCTGCATTGCCTGGTACCTTGGCCGCATAGCAGTATCTGTAGCCGGTGGCGCAGGGGATCACAATGCCGCTGCGTATGTCAGGACTGGGGCCTCTGGAATCGGCGGTGCGATTGGGGCCAGGGGTGTGACGGCCTGCCGGACTTCTTGTCTGATTACATCCGCGAGGGCTGACACAGGTGGATGGGATCCCACCGCCTGAAGCTGTTGCAATTCGTCCCGAACGATACTTCGAATGAAGTCTGCGAGGGTCTGTCTCTCGCTGTCAGAGCCGATAGAGCATGTGGTGGCCAAGATCTGGCGTTCGTATTGTGACGACCGCTGCTGCAGCGTACGTTCCATCGTAGCTGCCTCACTGATGAACTGGGCGACTGTCGTCGGTGGATTGCGCACGAGCCCAGCGAAAAGCTGTTCTTTTACTCCGCGCATCAAATGGCGCACCTTCTTTTCCTCACGCATGACAGGGTCCGCGCGCTTGAAGAGCCGAAGCATGTCCTCGACAAACATGGATACACATTCGTTCGGCCGTTGGTTTCTGCAGGATATGGCTTGTTCAGCCCTCTCCATCCTCTCGGTGTTGCGATAGGCGTCACGGAGCTGTCGGCTAAAATCTTGCCATGTTGCAAAGGAGCCCTCGTGGTTCTCGTACCACGTCTTCGCAGAATCCTCCAAGTAGAAGTAAACTCGGCGCAGCTTGCGAACATCGTCCCATTCGTTGATGCTGGCGACCCGATCAAAGTGGTCTTAGCCAGTCATCAACATCCTCGAAGATGTCTCCATGGAACGACTTTGGAACGCTTTGGCTTTGGCCATGGAACGGTCTGTGGCACGTGAAAAACATGGGCGAGAAGAGAATCATGGGCATCGCTGGTTTGGACTGCCTGGCTTGACATCGCAGTTGCCATCTTTCTGGGTGTCGATGCCAAGGGACCAAATTCAGGGGGTAACCCACGCAGGCGGCGGCTGATTCTTGCTCTGGGAGATGTAGCTGTCTCCACGATGGCCGACACAGCCGAAGTACACGTACCCAGCACCTCCACCAGTAATGTCACGAACAAAACAAGACCTGCAGCCAGGAGTTCACTTGAACCAGAGCAACGAAGATGTTCTCTTATTCTTCGCGCCCAAAAACACGTATGAGCCACAGTGGCTCGTTCATCAATGGTGGCAATACAAATAAACAAACGAACTGGTGCACTACTATTTCATTTTCTCGTACTTATATAGGTATGTTTATAATAAACACTGAATATAAAAAAGTCGTTCATATGTCAGATGCAATGTCCTTATATAATGCTATACTGTCATCACTTCTATCTTCAGCTTGCCATTGTAGCCGTCATCTCTCTCCGAACATTACATGAATAGTTATGCTGCAGTGACAGTTTAGCCCTCTTCTTCGGAAGCTTGGCATAATCATGTCTAAGATTTATGACCATAGTTATGGTTGTTGAGCTATTTATTACTTTGAAAGTAAAAATCTTTTGTTGTAGAATGTTGTAGTTGTCCTGCTGCATTGTGTCACAATATATCATGCGTGCCTGAAGATGTCAGAAAGTTCTTTAGTAGTATAGTCGGACACAAGTTAAAAAGTCTGGGAAAGCTCCACCCAGAAAACCCAAAGCACTGCAGCCTCTGCGACTAAAGAAATAGTCACACTCATGCACTCAACCATGTTCTCAGAAGGCAGCGTCAGCCGCTGTCCGACCCACGATGTCAGCCTGGAGCGCGCACCCATTAATGCAGGCTGATGTGCGTCTGCCTTCAAAGAAGAAATGCTGCAGACTTTTAAAGTTTATTGGTATCTGTGTTGCCATTAACGTGAAATTTTCAAAGGAAAACCTTACGACACATTTTACTCTTACGCACCCATGGCCATGCTTCTATTAAACTGCAGACATTATGCGCAGGGCACAGTGATCATCATAGCCAACCACGGTGACCGGATCGACATCCCCGCATCGGCCGTTCTCGAGAACAAGATTGTGTCTGGCAACTTGCGCATCTTGGACCACTAAGCTGGCAGCGGACATGCGGCAGAAAAAAAAAAAAAAAACCTCTTGGAGCCCTGCAGTTATCATGTTGCGCCCCTCCGACCACCTCTTTTTACTTGTCTGTGCTATGAACTTCTCGTGTTGCGAATTAGTATTTATGTGGTTTATACAATGATACCCATATATTTTCCTCTCGCTCGTGTTGTATTATGTCTACCAAGCCCTTTCGCGTAGGTTTATTGCTGGCAAAAACCAACGTAGAAAACACAAGAAAGGCTAGACTTGCCCGTTTAGTGTAGTAGATTTAGCTTGGACTATTAGCTGGATGATGTTTTGATGGCATTTATAGGTGAACCAAAAGCAAATGTGTAATGCACAAGGAAGCAAACCTTCTACGAGCATATTATACACGATTGACATCATCTTTGCAGCATGGTTTGTCGTGACGCGTTTGTGTCAAGGCTGTGACACAGTCACGTGGTGTAGTTGTGCCATGGTTAAATGCAATTTAATGCGTACGCCTGACTGACATAGTAGTCGCAGCATGGTCTGTTGTGACATGGTTGTCATGACCATGACATAGATGTTTCACGACCGTGACCTCTTTGACATCAGTGGGGCATGATTGTGATGCAGTCACATTGTTAACCACTTGTGGTGCAATCATATCGCAACATAGCCGCACTGTGGTTCTGACATGGTCACGGCTGCTCGTGGCATGATGGTGCCACAAGTGTCTTGTGGCAGACCTTGCAAACATCTGTGTCGTACAGTAGTGTAGTACAGCAGAAGTCTCAGCACTAATCTGGTGCTAATGTACGGCATTGTTTTCGGAGGTGTATATTTGAAAAGTGTCGACGATGCTAGTTTACGCTATTGTAGTGGTTCACCTGCTGCATAATTTGTGAAATAATGCGTTGCATCCCATGCTTGTTTGCATGCATATAAGCGTGTTGGCACCCTGAATTTCACACTGTGCCATTTCTGTCGCCGGATCTCCTAGTCTGAGCCAAGTTAATAAGAACAGTGATAACTATGTCTGTCGTTTTCGTCTAGCTCTTTTCTGGACGCCATTTCTTAAGAGATATTCGTGCATGAGCTAAGAAACTGCACGGATCAAGCTCGCACTTGTGCCATAAATATTGAAAGAACCGCTTGAAACTTCGTGGAAAAAAAAAAGAACTGTTACAAGAGAGCACTGGTCACATACACCTTGTGCCATTTGTTTCAGCAGAGGTGTAAGCCTCGTCTTTTGATGAGCCATCAAGTCAGCGATGAGTCTAATCATTTTTTTATTTACATCTTTTTTAAAGCATTTGGACATTGTAAGCCGGTCGTTGTACCCCTAGAAAGCAGGCTTTTGTTGTCCGTTCTGAACTTCATTACCCAAGTGACACCAGGGTCGGCCGTCGATGGAATTCTCATTTAAAACAAATTATTTTTACATTTTAACATTATTGTTGTTGTACTGGGCTTAGTTCCTTTTCATTTTGTATCGGGTCTAATATATATTTATCTGGGAAACTTGGGATGTGTTGTACGTCATCTTGCGCTTATGATGTTTGCGGAAGGAACGCATAGCAGCGAAATTTTACTTAATGTGCGTTGCCACATGTACATCTGGTGTTGGAGCAGGGGTGACTGCGTCCTGGTCAAGTGGAGGCAGTGCTATTTTTGCAGTCTTAATGTGTTTACCTGTGCGAGTATTTCAACAAATGTCTCCAAGAGAAAGGAATTGCGTAGCAATCCACCAACTGCATTCATCGTCGAATCTGTCTACGGTTTGCAGTTATGTACAAAGTAGGAAGTTCTTTTTTTGTCTTAGATCATGAAATAAATTATTGTTGAATTCTCCATGCATGGGTGTTTGTTTGACTTGCTTTCACCGACTTGTGCTTCGGAATAAAAGCACGTCTTGAGCTATACTCAGTCTCGGATGTTTCCTTCAGCACTATGGAGGCTACTGGGCCCCTTCGCCAATAGGAAGGGCAATCAGCCCTTTCACATATACTCATTCGCATTGCATCATCTGCTAAATATTCCCCTGGCATCTGGGTGCTCATGTTCAGCGAGCAGACACCAGTGGCGAAAACATGGCAGTATATTCACGAGGTGAATGGTGGAGAGTGGGCGAAGCTCGTACTGCAGGGTCCTCGCGGCGCCACCATGCAGAATCACGGCTAGCTTTGGCTTCCCGCACGGCGAGGTTGATTCTTGGAGTGCGAGTCACCGCTGCTCTGTGTGCACGCTGCTTGGCAGCCTTGTTCGTCCTCTGTTGACGAGCCTCTGTTGGCGTACATGCCATCACGGCGCCGCCTAAGAACACGTGAACGTCTCTCTCTCCTGTACGCGTGATGTAAATCATAAAACTCGCCTTTATTAGTATATTTTGCTACAAAACGGCCTCTAGTGAGGGACAATATTGCATTTCTCTGCTTATATGCATTCGTCATAGTATAGTGCAAGGAGCGCCATCTATTGCCGGATTGAAGAATCAACAAGCGGTGGTTACATACGATAACGGGACGCACAGAGCCATGCCTTAAGGAGCTTCGCCCCTAAAAAGGGTTGCACCTATTGACTCTGGTGCCCTCCGCTTTGAGTTTATCATGTCGTCGTGCGCTCTGTGGCTTGTACGTTGCAGATTGACGCTTTTACTTGCCTTAGATGTATGTCTTGGTACTTCGGCAGCAGTGTATTCATGACTACATTGTGCTGTTTATATAAATTTCTATCGAATTCTGAGCCTGTTTTAGCAGGCGTGATTGAAGAAACAGCTGATCTCGTCATGCCAATAATGACAGAGTTTACCCGATGCTTTGTCCTGATCGTGAGATGGCACTGGGCGATAGCTCATTACATCATTAGTTTCTGCGAGCGCTCTGGGCGTCAAGGGCAAGCTCGGATTGAAGTGGGTAGTTGAGTCGGCGTGGGCGCTGCCATGTTAATTTTTGGCCACAGTTGCTGATAGAACAATTAAAAAAATATGACATGCATGCAATGAAGAATAAACATACTATTAGTTATTCATAACCAGCAGCAGATGCTAAACAAGGGAAAATGTCTCAAACTTGCCGATTGCAAGGCAATGATATCTGGAACTATGTTTTTGTGCACAAGCATATGGTTTGGTTACACCCCGTGGCTTTGACAATGCTGAACCGTAGTGGCGAGACAGAGTATAGTTGATTGTTCATCATCACTACGCAAAGACAGCACACACTTAATGGAGTCTGATGCAAGGAACATGAGACATGGGAACTGCGTAATTAAATGTTTTTATCAATCTTTGCGTAGTGTGCGTTCTGTTTGCTTTGTGATTTAGCGTTGTAGTCTTGGGGCGTGGAAAGTCTCGCTAATTTCTTTATCACTGTTGCAGCATACACGAAGGATGGTTGTTAATGCTTTTCTTTTCATATTGGTAGGAGACTGCGCATAAATCGTTGCTGTACATTTCACTCCTGGCAGGGCTAGCCGGCCCCACTTGTGTCCATGATGACACGACAATGTCACCAGATGTCTCAATGGAAATTTTATTTACTCTAGTTCATATAAATTGTAACGTTATGTCAATTTTATGTACAGGGGTTAATATTGCATCGTCATTTCGCAAGAGGCGAGCGTTGCTTGTTCACGATCCATCAAGCCTAGAGCCTTGCGTGTTCCCATGCATGAGGTATAGCGTGTCTCGGACTGATGGGGGCAGCATTGGCCACTGGGACTGGAGGACGTGTCTGAGCCGCAGAGCCCGTTCCAGGCAGATCCTGTTGAAAAACATAAAAAGCTTATTTCTCGTACAAAAAGCTTTTGTCATATGCCAATTTTGTACTCAAGTACAACTGTACTTTATTTATAAATTTTTACTGCATATTCAAGCAAATAGGCTTGCATTATACATACGGCATCAGAAGGTCCCAAAGATGGAAACTGCCCAGGTGACCTCTCATAATTTGTGGGTATCATCAGTGGGTACTGACCGACATATCTGCGGAACCATTTTACGTGTTGGGTTAGACCTGCTTAGTCCTTTCCCACATCAACAGTGGAAAACGAATGGATAGTCGTGATTACAGATTACGATACACGCTACGCTATTATGCGAGCAACTGACGTCGCTGACTACTTGTTACGGGACGTTGTATTAGGTTCACGGTGCCCCAACACAAGTCCTCAGCAGACAGTGGCCGTACATTTCTATCTCAAGTCATCGCTGACATCCTGCGTTCTTGTTCCATGCAACACACACTGACCACCGCTTACCACCCTCAAACAAATGGCCTTACGCAACGCTTTCACCGTACTCGCACAAATATGCTCGCTATGTACAAGTCGCCCGACCACTGAGACTGGGACCTTGCCTTACCCTACGCAACTTTCGCGCATAATTCGTCCCGTCACAACACAGCAGGCTTTTTGCTGTTCTACTTATTGTACGGAAGAGAGCCTACTTTACCACAGGACGGGGTCATCTCAGGCTCATACCTCGTCCACCTAGTGAGTATGCCCGCGACGCGATTGCGTGAGCCGATCATGCCCGTCAGCTTGCCCGCGCTCGGCTAATGGCGTCGCAGACCAACCAATGCTGTCGATGCGATGCGAAACATCGAGACGTACATTTTGCTCTCGGTACCTTCGTTTTACTCTGGTCTCCTCATCGTCTGGTGGGCCTATCAGAAAAACTCTTTTGTTTCATTACGCGGGACCGTACAGTCTATTGCTTCGAGTAACACCTGTCACCTATGACATCAGCCCCATCTGTACATCATCTGCTGTGCGGCCCAGTGATATTGTACACGTCTCACGGATCAAGCTCTACAAGAATGCATCAGATGACGACCTTTAAAGCAGCAAGACAGTGCCTCCACCGCCGGGGGTCATGCTACGTGCCAATGGCATGAAAATGAAGAGGACAAAGAAGATAGACTGGCGCGAGCTAATCTGTGTCTACTCTTTAGAGTCGATCCCTTGCTCGTAACAATATGAGCATTACAGCAGCAATCACTGTGCAAACAAACGAGAAATGAACATAATGAAATATAGATTATAACCAAATCGAGAACAGTTGGATATACTTAACAACGGCATTATAAACTATCACAAAAGTGCTAGTACAAAGAAAACAAATGCAAGAGATAGTACAAAAGACTGTTTGTGAAAGGAAAAAAAAAAAAACAAGAAAATGTATTTCAGACAGATGGTCTTCTGAATAATGCTGGCAGCCCTATGCACCCACTGAGTTTCTGCTAACATCATAGAACGGACAGGCATCGGACGAGTGCAGGACATGCACACACTATGCAGTTATGGCTGCATTCACTACGATGTTGACATAAGGAAGGCATGTACACTGTACACTATTGTCTCTGCAGTAGATTTACTGCGCCAACTTAACATTGAACACAGTGTATCGAGATTGGATAGAACAGCAAGGGATACACACGCTAATAACGCTATAATTGGCTGCTCAAGCAATGCGGACCCACCGGTAGAGGCTCCTCGGCGAAAAGGAAAGAGTGATCACTGTGTCCTCCTGCGACAAAGAAAAGAAAGAAAGCACATGAAACGCCATGTTTCCCCAAGTGAGATCACTAAACTGACATAACAGCTATCTACTGGCAGCCTTACAGTATGCTCAAATACATTAGTGATACATTCGGTAGCTAGGGAGCTAACACTCTCAGGCTTAAATGCATATATATATATATACCTGATAAGTGTCAGGGAGAGGACGACAGGCTGCCATAGATCAATTGGTAAAGCATCGGGAGCATTATTCGGGCGTTACAGGTTTGGTGTCTGCTGGCGACCAGTTGTTTTTTCATCCACTTTCATTTCTTCACATTTACATCATCACTACTACAAATAACACTCCCCACAATTTCCTTGGCTTCATTATTCAAGTCTGTTGGTTGCGATCAATTCTATCAGTGATTAGACACTCTGACCACTTGGCTTGCAGTTGCATCAATGAAAACTGGTAGCATAGAACCTGGCTTTATGAGTGCGACCCTTGAGAGTGGGTCGATTCCGCACATACTGTACACAAATGTCTGGGAACCAACCCGGCGAGAATATTCTCATTATAAACTTCCTCGCACACTGTTCTTTGAACAAACGGCAACTGGTAAAGCAACACAAGCACTTGTACACAAAGTGCACCTCGTGACTACCACTGATCCCACTTTCTTTATTTGGACAAAAATAAATGCAGAACTTCACTTGTACCATTATAGATGCTAGCGGTGGTCGGAGGGCAACAGACCGAAAGTCTAGCGCTCAGTAAAGAGAAACGAAACTACCGTAGACTGACCGCTTGGATGCCGTCTTGCTGGAAGATGTTCCGCGCACATCCACCGAACACGATGACCTCCAGCTCGCAGCTGAGACAGGCCGAGTGCCACAGTCGTGGGGGGAGCTGCACCTCGACGCGCACCCAGGTCAGGGCAGGAACCACAAACAACCAGCAGTCGGCTGCAACGATGAGGAGTGTATTTCGTAGGAATGTGGCAACTTCTCCTCAACATAGTGGCTGCCCCCCCCCCTCCCCCCGACCCCCGATAGCTAAGTGCCGCCAATACAGTCAGCGTTCGTTGCAACATCATGCTGGTGACCACCAGCAGTTCTGGGCATACCAGACTTAAACTGATGTCAGACAGGCACTTTTTTATCACAACCAGAGTAAATTTAGATGAGATTTCTTTATCGTGCTTTACTATGAATGCTGCTACACAGTCGAAACTAATCAAGATGGAGCTTCACCTTGTGGTGTACACGTATCCCGAAGGAGTACGGCCACCAGCGTGGGGTTCGGTCTTAGCGAGCCGCAGGGCACGCGTTAACCGTCGCCGTGGCGGGAAACACGATACTGCTCAAGTCGCAACACTTTATTGTGGCAACACCAAACGCAGTACAGCCCGTTGCAAATAGGCGCGGCGGGAAAGCAAGTAGGCTTATCCACGCCACGGGCACAAAGTACTACACAGGGGTGCCACGAGCACGTCTCCGCGGTAAAGGTGATCCACGGAGACACCGGGACAAAGGGCCCGGTTGCTCGAGCGAGGGCAAAGGCGCTCGCGTTGGCTTCGAAGGGAGACGGGTCGGCGTAGCTAGGCCACGCACTAGGACACCGTACTGCCCTTCGGCCGTGAGTACGCAGCGGGGCAACAAAAGGTGAGCGTTCGCATCGGGCGCGAGGCGCCGTCAGCGAAGTCCGACGAGCCCCGAGCGACGGGACTCGACGGACGGAAAAGAATGCGTGGCTCACCGTTTGAAGTCCCGGACTGTACTCCCCGCTCCCGACGCAGCGCGCGAAAACCTCTCGGGGGTCCCCGCGCACGGCGCCACAGTCAACATCCGCTACCGGGTGAGGGAGTTAAACGTCACTCCGCCCTTCCCAGCGCGGCTGATGGCAAAGGAGGGCAGACATGTCGGGACATGAGAATGGCAGAAAAGGCGGGAAAGCCCGCGCAAAGGCAGCGGGCCAGCCTCAATTCCCACATCCCCCTCTCCTAAATTTGCCCTTTACCGGTCTGCAAAAGGCAGCCGGACGTCACCCATGCAGTTAAAATCACACTGCTATGAGCGGTAGCTAACCTCAGTCCAGCCCTGCTACTGCTGCTTAAAAGAAATATGATTACAAAGGAGAAACAAAAACATAAATAACAAAATAAACACACGACACTATACAAATACTGCAAAAGGGAGCACAGAAACGTGGCACTAGTGTTCGTGGTGCTGAAGGGGGATAGCGTCCACTGCGCGGAGGGGCGGAAAGGCGTGACAGTGTCCGCTGGGTGCGATGCCCGAGTGCGAGGTCAGAGTACCGGAAGGGGGGGGGGGGGGGGGCTCACTGATGGCTTGTTCCTGCTCTTGATAAGCCGCGAGTCCGACGAAACGCTGCCCCGGCTGTGCGTCGGAGGCCCCGCATTTCTGGCTCGATGATGGAGCTGGACGTTGCGGGAAGCCGGGCCTCTCCGGTGGTCAGGGAGGCCGAACCAAAATTGGCTGCGAGGCGCCCTGGCGTTGGCCGGCAGCATATAGCTGCTTTCAGCTGGCCTCGCGCAAGAGCCACGGTGGGAAAGGCAGCGGGGCTTCTTCGGCGACGGCCGAGAGCAGAGCACAGCCAGATGGTCTGACGTCAGTGGGTCAATGACCCCCCAGCACCTCCAGCGTCCGCATCGGTGGGGGGAAGCCATCACGCACTCTTCGCGGGCTCGCACTGAAGCGTCACGCACGGAAGCACGCACACACACCGCCGACAGCTGCGCGAGCGTAGGCGCAAAGCGTCCTTCGTCTCTCTCTCTCCCGGCAAGCACCGACACACAAGGTCACACACAGCTCCCTTTGCGGTAGACGAAATGAACACAAAAAAAGTAAAAACAGAGCAAAACGACACTCAACATCTGGCGAAAAACATAAAACACAAATAACACTTAATATTAGACAAAAGAAACATAAAATACACATGAACACTTCAAAAAAAAAAAAGAAACACTGGCAGCAGACAGGGCGGGGTCAACTTCTTTACGAGAAAAGGCCATAAAGAAGCTAACCTATACTGAGGCTAGACAGTAAACTGAGGGCCTTCGGTTGCGGAGAAGTCCGCCGTCCGGCGCGAAATCACAAAGGTGACCGCTTCCTCAGATTATACCGGTGCGGGGTCCGAATGCGGTCCGTCGCTCCGGGTGTGCCCGTTGCTTGCGCGAAGTGCCGCAGGGCACTGGCGCGAGCTCGTCAGACCGTGACAAAGGGCTTCAGGTCTGCGATGTGGGCACGGCTGAGTTTTCCCAAAGGGGATCTTTCAGCTAGTACGCGCCACGGACGCTCACTGACAATCGGTTCATAAGACCGGGCGGCTTTCCAACCCTTGGCTCAACCGTTTGTCAGACGTGGCAGGCACGGAATAGCGATAAAAGCCACGCTTCGTGCCGGGCCAGGTCACAACATTGCTCAGTTTGCAAAAACTTTCGAGCCACTCAGGTGACCGGCCATGGATTCGTCGTGAGAGGATCGCAACAGTGCGGCTCTCAGACTTTGGGCATAACCACCTTAAACGGGTCGCTGGACTCGTCGTCAGTGGCTATATAGTTCAGCAGGAGCCCGTCATGGTCCAGCAAAATGAATCCGCCGGGGACTCAGCGACACACGCTGTTTCAGCCCCCTAATAGCGCCCGCCGCAGAACAAGCAGCGTAACGGCGCGCCTCTCAAGACGGTTTAACGGCGCCCGCCGCAAAGCAAGCAGCGTATACGGCGCTCCGTCCCTCCGAGACTCGAAACGGATCACCTGCTGAGCCTTCAGTAGCTCTTCGCTGCCGAAAGCAATTCCCATTCTCCCAAATGGGGGAGTCTGGTATCGCGCCCACTCAGGGCCGCAGCAACCGCCGCGTGAGTTGGCGTTACGGGTTCGCTTTCGGCCTCGTGGCCTTCGGAAAGCTCCGCCGCTCGGCCGCTTCGCGGTGTGCCGCTTACCTGGTTAGCAGCCAAGGTTTGTCCGCATGGGGACTCGCCCTTCTCGCCGAATGGCGGCGAAGCTGCTGTTTCGCCCCCGACGCTTGCATGTGCTAAGGCACCGCGAGCGGCCGTCGCACCGAAATCCAGGTTCTCGGCAGACAACAGGGGGCACGAGATAGCGCGTCAGCTACCACGTAGCGGTGTATTCACCACAAAAAGGGGTGACGACACAGGCGAGCGCCGAAGCGCGCCCGTCGATAGAGGCGGTGGCCTCTTGCTGCAACGCGGCATGCCACGAAGCAGACATAACGTTCGGGTAGGGCAAGAGGCCCATTCCGAAGCGACGCGCCATCTCCAAAGGGAGCGGCTAGGCGCCTCGTGTCGTCACCGCAATAGGGGGTGCCGACACGGACGGGTGTCGGAGGCGCTTGTGCGTAACGTTCGGGTAGGGCAAGAGGTCCATTCCGAAGCGACGCGCCATCTCCAAAGGGAGCGGCTAGGCGCCTCGTGTCGTCACCGCAATAGGGGGTGCCGACACGGACGGGTGCAGAAGGGTTCCCGTCAACAGAGGCAATGGCCTCCGTGTGCAACGCGGCATCCGCTAAAAGGGACAGCGGACAAAAGTCCCGCGAAGCAGCCATGTTGCGACGAGCCCGAATCGCGCAGGCGAACTGACTCGCTAAGAGCAATCAAAAGCTAGAGCTTTTGATGCCCCACGTTGGGCGCCAGTGTGGTGTACACGTATCCCGAAGGAGTACGGCCACCAGCGTGGGTTCGGTCTTAGCGAGCCGCAGGGCACGCGTTAACCGTCGCCGTGGCGGGAAACACGATACTGCTCAAGTCGCAACACTTTATTGTGGCAACACCAAACGCAGTACAGCCCGTTGCAAATAGGCGCGGCGGGAAAGCAAGTAGGCTTATCCACGCCACGGGCACAAAGTACTACACAGGGGTGCCACGAGCACGTCTCCGCGGTAAAGGTGATCCACGGAGACACCGGGACAAAGGGCCCGGTTGCTCGAGCGAGGGCAAAGGCGCTCGCGTTTGGCTTCGAAGGGAGACGGGTCGGCGTAGCTAGGCCACGCACTAGGACACCGTACTGCCCTTCGGCCGTGAGTACGCAGCGGGGCAACAAAAGGTGAGCGTTCGCATCGGGCGCGAGGCGCCGTCAGCGAAGTCCGACGAGCCCCGAGCGACGGGACTCGACGGACGGAAAAGAATGCGTGGCTCACCGTTTGAAGTCCCGGACTGTACTCCCCGCTCCCGACGGCGCCACAGTCAACATCCGCTACCGGGTGAGGGAGTTAAACGTCACTCCGCCCTTCCCAGCGCGGCTGATGGCAAAGGAGGGCAGACATGTCGGGACATGAGAATGGCAGAAAAGGCGGGAAAGCCCGCGCAAAGGCAGCGGGCCAGCCTCAATTCCCACAACCTGGACATCAGTCAAATCACAATCTTCTTCTTGACCTTAGTAGGGCCTGATTAAGATTTAAAGTAACTGTGCAGCAGCCTCTGTTCTGAATTGAGCCTGATACAGATTGGTCCCGTTTTTGATGGAAAGTTCCTATGTGACAGTGGTGTTGTTATCTGTTATCTGCCAAGACAGTCCAAATTTGAGTACTACAGTCGTTTTAAGCCTAAGAGCTCTAAAATTGACGACTGATCTTAAGCATAGAGCAATACGCCACTAATGCTTGTCGTATGCCTGTGATGAGCGAAAATGATAGGCTGCATCACAATCAGACCAGTCTGGCCTTAGACAAGAAGCTTCGCTTCTCGGTTGTCACCGTGTACCGTAGCTTGGCGTAAAGCTATCGGTGCGACACATGGTGCACCTCACCAAACCTGAGTGTGCCCAACACAAAAACCAAGCACCATTTGCAACTTGTGCAAGTGCAGTAGCGTCAGTGCTACTTCTTTGCAGCCACTAGTCCAAGACTCCCTACTTGTTATAAACAGAGCCTCTTGTGTCCTCTGATGCTTGCCTCTGCAGCACAATTCTAGCATCTTACATTCAACATCCTGTGAAACGTTTCCACAAGCACAATCACTTCTTTCCTGACCGAACGTAATGGTCGACGTGCACCAACTTACACAGTGGCTCTTCCGTCTGGCTGAACCCCCCGTAGAGGACGATGCGGAATGGGGGAAGTGCCGTGAAGCTGTGCCACGACCGACCGCGTGGCTTTTCGCCTATGGTCCTCAACCTGCAACCAATAGTAACATGTACCAGTCAGATCAATGAACTCTTTTTTTACCAGACCCTGTCTCATTACCTTATGGACAGCCTCTGCAAGTGTTTTCCTGCATGTATAATATTTCTGTCGTCCAGTACCAGAGAAGAACCCATGATCACCTAATGTATTAAATTCGCCTATCCACGTGACGTTCCTGCTTGATACGCTCCAAACTGTCACTGTGCTAGTACAGTAGACTCTCATTAAACGGAACCTGAAGAAACCAGATAAATATGTACCATTTAGCAGGAGTTCCATTTATTAAAAGGTGAATAATCAGAACCAGAACGGTTTTATTTGCCAACAAAATTGTTGGGGGTACGTCAAATGAAAAGCTACATCATATCTGAAGGCCTTCATATGGCAGCAGTAACATCAAAATAAGCATTGGTACATGTTTTAAGTATATATCCAGAAAAAAGGGGGCAGAATACAAGCACAAAACTAATCCTGCCAGAAACACTTGTTTCATGTAAGCATTATTTCCGTTTAACAGATTTGCGTTTACTGAGAGTCTACTGTATACTGATTGGACAATGCCTATGATCTTGTTGATGTGGACTGCCACTAGGCCATGCAAAGCATCACTTGAAAAGGCTTTGGTTGTGGCAGAAGCGCGAAAAAAACACCAGACTTTCGTCAAGGACTGCTTTATGCCTTAAACTTACTACATATTAAATCATTATGAAGCGGAGCTGCGAGCAATGCATCCGTTTTAGTATTTAGCAGTACTTCTTCCCCAATCTTGCTGTTTCCTGTTTACTGAATACTTTTTTTTTCAAATTTGTGTGAAAAATATTTTACAGGTGCACTGCAGGGTATTACAGTGCATCGCGTACACACTGCAAACACCCGTAAGTTGGCTTCCCTGCTAGAATATTTTCCCATGAAACCTGTAGTTTCTGGATTGCTTTTCTCGCTCTAAGCATGCTGAGCCCTTGACATTCCACCAAAGGTGTGGCAGCAGCACAATGCCTTTCAAGAACACACGGCAGAAATACCAGACCTCATGGTACATTTATTTATAATAAACAGAGAAAGGGAAAAGCAGAAGTAAATACAGTGATTAGCGGTGAATGGAAAATATACCTGATCTGCCAGTCGGTGGCCAAGAGATTTTTTTTTGTATCAGCGTCGGCACTGTTTAGTGTATTTTGCTTAAGGGGGCAGATTGGTCTTAGACATTTTTGTTTATTTCTTCAGTGATTTTGATCAAACTGCCAGGATTATGCAGTTTTATCTGCTGATTTCAAATCGTTAATTAGCTTTCCTGTAACTCATCTTGTTCCTGAGATAGCTTAAGTTTCCCCCTATTGTTGAAGGCCGCCATAGAAAAAAAGTGTTATTTAAAATATGCCAACATAGACTAATGAATATAGAGTGAAAGTATGCAAGAGTTTTTTGTTTTTAGGCTTTTCTTGTTTATTTTACAGCAAAATGAATTATCTATTTTTTAAAGCAGTTGGGATCATATTACAATTTTGATGACTCTGTGCTCTAAATTCTGCTCCCATACTTGCATTCTACACATATACAGGCTTCCATTGCAAAAGAATTATTGTTGTACCTGCCCTAGCTGCATAAATGTTGAGGCCTTAAAATTGAACAATCATAAATTTACTTTTTTGAGAAAAATGGAAAAAACTGAAAACACAGCTTCCTCAAAAAGCAACAATCATGGTGTGCATGTTTTGCAATCTTCATAAAGGTGCTCATAAATTTGTAGCAGAGCTTCCATCACAGGTGGGGGCCAATTATAAAGAAGCCTTGAAATTGGTTCCCCATTTTTTCGGCAGGTTCTGCATGTTAATAGCACCAAGCATCTGGACAGTTAGAATGGCATTACGAAAAAATTACCACTTCTTTGGTGTGTGAAAATTTGCACAGAGATAGAAAAATGCGTGCAGAAACCAAATATGTCAATTTTAAAAATGATTTTTTTTTTGTCACTTTTTGGTCCCAAAGACCAGTCTGTCCCCTTAACAACAAAGATTTACGTTGTTCGTTCGGTAACTCGAAGATGCCATACTTTTGCTCAGCGATTAGGATTGATAACAGGCTGGGTGAGGTTCTGGTGCTCACTTACACGCCAGTCCAATGCATAGTGGTGAGGTCCAGCCGATGGATGTCGTTGAGCCTAATCTGCTGGTGACGGCCACCAAAGATGAACACCTGGCCGTCGATTCGCGCAGCCGCGTGAGCGGCTCGTGCCACTGGTGCCGTGCCCTGGAAAATTGGTCAGCGTTCTTATCCCAAGAAAAATACTCGCTCATTCAGATTAGCAGGCACATTTCCCACCCAAACTTTTACGTTTGGTGTCAGTTCACATACAATGCTTACGCTTGAGCTTCACCTTCACTAGAATCATAGCATTGGCAGCAGCAGTGAGGCTGTCTACTGACTCTGCTACAAGATGTCAATGACCATCCTTGACAACGCCCAGAAAACCCACCGATAGAGCTCGTGAGTGAAAAAGCATGTGTTGGCAAGACTGTGCAGAAGCTATATCTGACTGACGGTCACCTTTCGACAGTTTCTGCTCAACATATTCAGGTAGTGCAAACTGTCTCATTTCAGTCAGCCCCGTTGAATTAGAAAACAGGCTACCCGTAAAGCAACATACACCGACTCCTGCTTACCAAGCCCGTGGCTCGGGGGGTCAGGGTTTTTGCTAGCAGGCAGCTCTTGGGTTTTTACCATTGATGGTGCTCTTATCACTACCGGTGTATTACCAGACACAGCTCATGCTGTGTCTGGAAGTACCACTTTGCTGGAAGTAACGCAAATCTGGCAATGTCGACACTACCAGCTGGCAAACAGGTACATCGATGATAAACAGCGCAAAAACAGGATCGAGGGGAAGAAGCACACAGTGTGTGACAAGCAGTGCCCAATGCCACTTTTATACGTGTTTCGTTAGGTCACTGCACCATCATTTCTTTCGGCATACGGCACAAGCTGCTGAAATGTTTTTCGGTGAAAGGAAATGGCAATGAGCTCGCTTGTGTCCAAGAAGCGTTCGGAGTGCAACCCATCAGGTTAAATCGATAACACGTTCGTGCAGTGTCCCTTTAAGAATTGAGTTCAGTCACAAACCTTGTACATGGGCCAACTCCACGAGTTGGTCTGGGTGTTGAATGCCACCAGCTGGTTGGACCATCCTCTCTGTATAAAGCGGAAATTGTAAAAAAAGTCAGTCAGTTTGTTACGATACCAATGGAGCAACTACCAAAAGCACTGTTCACAACACAGTAACCTTCAGTTGGGCTGGATAACGTTTGTGGAAAACTGAGACAACATATGTAACAGCCAACTCAGAAGCTTGCTACAGTTGAGGCTTCGATTAGTTGTAGTTGGCTCGTGCTTATAACAGGAAAAAGAACAACCCGAAATTTTGACAGGACACAACAGCGTGGATGTTGTGCTCTCCTCATCTTGTTCCCATCAAAATTTGACGGCGTTTTCTCTTCCTGTTATAAGCCAACCTAAAGCTACTTTTAAAATGCGACTCACAAAGCCAGGGGTGCAGCAAAAGAAAGAAGTGTGACAACATATCGCTCGGTTGCAATTGCATTTGCAACTTGTAAAACGCCAGAATGATGCAAAAATGGTTGAAGTTTGAAACAAAAAGGCCGCATTACACTTCTAGATAGAGGGAAATGCAAAACTCATGCGTACATCACGGACACTTCTGGGAACTCTCACGGCGGGATCAGGGTCACAGGCGTGCATCCAGACAGGCTGTGGCCAAAATACTGTGCGACTTCAATGCTTCGTAAACTATAGAAAGCATAACGACGCTGCTGCAAGCATGCTGAGAAGCAAAATAGATGAAGAAAAAAATGTTGCCAGGCCTTCATTTTACGCCAACATGACGTTCTCTCTTCGGCATCTGAGAGAATGCAAGGGAAGCTACATCATTCAAGACTAAGCTCAGGATGAGGGCACAGGTAGTGGCACTTGCCTCATGGAGGCATGGTAATGGGACAGTTCAATTTCCTCCAACATAAAAAATAACAAACCGATTTCAAAAGTTCCTTTCGTAAGATGCTTTAACTGACAATATTAATACTTCCATTAAGCAGCCGATGGGGCCATTTAATGCACTGCGTTAATTGTTATAGTTTCACAGGTACTGCGTGTTTCTTTTCACAGTTCAGCGAAGTACTTATTACAGTGGCACAGCTGCAAGTTATGGAAGTTAATTTAGCAAGGTGCTTTTCTAGAGATATGCACAGCTCATGAAGCGGGGACCTTATTTCTGCTTCATAATAGCGCAATTTTCAGTAGTAAGCTCTGCTGCAACACAACACTGCATTGTGATAAAACTTCTGCCGAAAATAACCAAGAATAAAAAAAATTGCTGGAGTGAAAGTTATTGCTTAAGAGTCAAGCCGTGCCCCTACAAAAGATGGTGGCTGCAGCCACCATTTTAGTAGGGGCGTAATAAACTGTCAGCGTTCCACAAAGGAAATGGAGCGTTCTCTTCGCATACCTAACAGGTTTAATGTGGCAACTTTTCAAATGCAAGCAGCTTTTTAACTAGCCTGCGTAACCCTGTCCCTCCCCACCAGGGCGGTGCCAAGTAGGTCAGGCCTTCCCTCGCAGTGTGCATGTGTGACGTAACTCTCTCCCTAGCCTGTCGCTGCGTGTCATCTCTCTCGCTTGACCCTCTCCACCCCTTGCAACACTCGAGCCCACTCCTCAAGTCGGCATTATCTTTTCACCCAGGCCACCTCTTTCCATCTGTCTGCGAGAAAAAGCCGCGGGTAGGCGTGCTGCGTGCGCTGTCGTCTAGCCCAGTTGTGTTCCCGCGGCGTCGTCAATGTGGACAGCGCGCCACTGCCTGCCCCGCAATCATGCCAATGAGCGAGACGTTGCTGGGGCATGCTTCTCGCTAGTGTGCGCGTACCTTTCCGGCCGCCGCCGCCGTTGCGAGTTAGCGAAGCTGATCGCCTTTGCGAATGGCAACGGCGCACCTGAAACACCGACGAGGCGCGAGCCAGGGAAGCCAAACGCAAGCGTCGGCAGTGGAAGACCAGCGACACCGACGAGGCACGAGTCAAGAACGTTGATTGCATTCAAGAATTGAGACGGCACGTGGTTAACACCGAGGAGACACGAGCCGAGAAAGCCAAGCGCCAGCGTCTTCAACGCGTCCCTCCTCCCGAGTCTTTGCATTTCGAACAAGAGTTTACTCCGGTGAACGCTACACCAAGTTTCGCTTCAAACTGTTCTTCCAGCACCCTCGTCGACGCCCATTTACACTTGGTCAACGACGTGCGCACCGCTGCTGCTTCGCATCCCGTCAGGGTTCCCTTTGGGGAGATGGTCCATAGTTTTCTTAGGTTCAGCTGCTGCTGCTGTGTCTGCGTCTCAGATACTGTGTCTTTGTGTTACTAGTTATCCTTAATAAGCCTTGATCTCATGGCCGATTTTATTGTAGACAAAGTCACCAATACTCTTCCCAATGTCTTACATTTGTTGGGAAGAACAACCTTTAAATTTATAAGTGACACAGCATTTGCTTATAATATCAAAGTCACTTGATCTCTAAATAGGCACCACCAAAAAAGAACATGTTTCCGGGAGCTTTGGAGGGAAAAAGCTGGCTTCACTTTTGCTGGCAAGGCACTAAGAGAGCTTCCACTCCCGAATTTTTTTTTTTTACTTCCTTAGAGAGAACTAGCTCTAACACAGGGAAACATACTGCCTAGGGCACATATCACTTGGCATGTCAGATTATTGTGCCGTCTTCTCCGGATTTCACATATCAATATTGAATTGTGACAGCAAAACTTTACGCGCGGGGGGTTGGGGTGGGGGAAATGAAGTGCTCACCCAAGGTGCTTGCATGTCGTGGAGGAAGACAAAGTCTGCTGGCCGCTGCACTCCTGCACGTGGTGAGATGCCAAACCCACCGAACACAGTATAGACTGCACATGTGGGAAAAAAAACGACAATGGTAGTCTTTCAAGCCTTCCCGTCTACTCTAAGAGAGGACTGAAATGCAATACAGCATTCACTAAGAGTGCATCAATTGAATAGGAGAATGAACTAATGGGGTCGTTTCTTGTTAGACACGTTTCTCGTTAGCCAACAGATAACTGAAGTGTAGTAGTTTTTCATTCAAGTATCGTCAATGTTAGATAGGGGTAAACAAAACAATGTGAACGAAGAGAACAGCTTGCTACGAATGGGGACAACCTCCAAGTTATGCAAAGGTCAGCAGCTGCCAGCTTGTTAAGGATCAGGTGTTACATGATGCCGTTTGGCAAAAAGTAATGTTTCCCATTAGCGACCAAGGCCAAAAGTGGTGTTAACGGAAACCTGGCTTACCCTTAACATTGCAAGTGTAGAGCTGTTCGATTGTGAAAATAATTATACCATTTACAGATGTGATAGAGAAGAATCGCCAGGAGATGGTGTACTTATAGCCGTAGCTGATTATATAGTTTCTAGCCAAGTAGTAATAGCATCACCTTTAGAATTTGTCTGTGTTTCCCTCCATGTCAACTATCAAAATGTCATAATTTGTGGCTGTTACCGCCCTCCGAGTGCGACGCCAGTGTTTTGCGAGCAACTGCATGATGCTTTGAATGATATTGTCAAAAGGCACCCGCATACACCTGTTTTTCTTCTAGGCGATTTTAACTACCCGAAAATAAACTGGTCACTTCCTTCTTGTTCATTAAGCTCACTTTCAGCCGACAGTTTACATTTCGTGGAACTGTGCGAAGACTTTAACCTTACCCAACTCGTAACGCAGCCAACAAGAATGGGCCCCACTTCATCAAATGTTCTTGATCTGATTCTCACCACTGTACCAGACCTTGTCCATTCTATTTCATATATCCCAGGCATAAGTGACCATTGTTTTGTGCACTTCAATCTAACAGGTTCTTTAAGGCGTCGGTCAAACAATCGGAAAACAATAAGAGACTACTCACGCGGCGATTATGACTCAATCAACAGTGAACTCGAATCGAATTTTGAGAGCTTTGCTAATGGCTTTTTTGATCGCAGTGTTCAACAAAACTGGAACTTGTTCAAAATGAAAGTTGAATCTTTAATCACGCGATACATTCCCACATACGTTATCGAGGGTCGCCAACGCCCCCCTTGGTTCTCAACTGACATAAAAAAATTGCGGAATAAAAAGAAATGGTTGTTCCGTCAGGCAAAGCAGACTAATTCGTTCGCCCGTTGGCACGTGTACAAATCTGTCCTTTCCGAATACAGAGCAGCTATCAAGGAAGCCAAGCGCGTTTTTCTTAATAATACCCTTCCCTCAATTCTTGTAACCAACCCTTCTAAGTTTTGGAAAACTGTTAAACCTAGGGAAAAGAAAAACATTTCGCTTACGAACTCAGACGGGCAGCCAGTTCGCTGTGAAGAGTGTTGCATTGCATTAAATGATTTTTTTGTTACTTCTTTTTCAAGTTGTTCTGCTTCTGCGTTGCCACAAATGCCTAGTCGTGATTTTTTACCCATGTATCCTCTTACCGTTGATGCCGTTGGAGTGCAAAATTTAACTCACAAGCTTAAGTTATCCTCTTCTTGTGGCGTAGATGAAATCAACTCAAAGTTTCTAAAAAAACACTGCATTGTATTCATCAATTTACTTGTCCCTAATCTTTTCGCAATCTATTCAGACCTCCACTTTGCCGCTTGACTGGAAAGTGGGGAAGGTGGTCCCTCTGCACAAATCTGGTAACACACAGTCTCCTCTCAATTACAGACCAATTTCCCTAACCAGTGTTCCTTGTAAAATGTTAGAACATATAATTTACTCCAACCTTGTCTCATTCCTAGAATCAAACTCTTTTTTTACTCCCTACCAGCATGGATTCCGAAAAAGTTACTCATGTGAAACCCAACTTCTTTATTTTACTAATGACATAGCATCGGCTTTAGATCGTGGCTCACTTGTGCATTGCATTTTTCTTGACTTTCAAAAAGCTTTCGATAAAGTACCTCACCAATTCCTCCTCCTGAAAATTAGTGCCTTAAACATTGACCCGAACATTCTTAAATGGATTGAATGCTTTCCGACTAATCGCACTCAGTTTGTAACAACTAATGACTATAACTCACCTCTTTCTAAAGTAACATCCGGCGTACCCCAAGGTTCCGTATTAGGCCCTTTACTTTTCCTTATATATATTAATGATCTCCCCGACAGCATTAACTCCACTATAAGGCTATTTGCAGACGATTGTGTAATTTACCGCGAAATAAACAATGAATCAGATAACCAATTTCTACAGTCAGACCTTAACACTGTCTCAACCTGGTGCAATAAATGGCTTATGACTCTCAACTCTAACAAATATAAATGCATGTCAATAACCCGGCGATCTATTTCTCCCCCCTGTACCTACAGAATTAACGCAGTTCCCCTCCAGCATGTCTCTTCATATAAGTACCTCGGCGTTTACATTACCAACAATCTATCTTGGCGCACGCATGTTACCTACATCTGTAATAACGCTAACCGAACGCTAGGATACTTACGCCGCAACTTTTCTCGCGCTCCGCTGTCCCTCGAAATTCTACTATACTGATCACTAATTCGCCCAAAGCTTGAGTACGCGTCCGCTATATGGGATCCCGTGCAGCAAAATTTAATCAACGCGTTAGAATCTGTTCAGAACCGCTCAGCTCGGTTCATTTGTTCTAATTATTCCCGTACTGCTAGCATATCAGAAATGAAATCTAACCTTGACCTGCCCAATTTAACTGTCGGAGGAAACTGGTGCGACTGCATTTTTTTCATAAGATATTTTTTCACAATCCATCAATGAAGCGAGACCTCATTTCACAACCGTCATACCACTCATCGCGCATTGATCACCAGCATAAGGTTGCCATTCCGTTTTGCCGCACCAAATTCTTTTCAGCAGCCTTCTTACCGAAAACAGCCGCCAATTGGAACCACCTTCCCTCTTCCGTTGTAACAATAACAGACCCTTTGTTATTCAAGACTGCAATTTCTCAGCAATGTTTGTAACTATACGCAGTTTTCATTATCTATTTTTGTGTTGTATGTGCTTGAATTCTTACTTATACATTTTTAGTTTATTTATGTTGCCTTCGTGATTTGCGCATCTGACACTTGTTTCTTTTTTTTTTTGTCTTTTTTTCTTGTGTGTTATAAAATGTTGTACCCACCCCCTCTGTAATGCCCTACGGGCCCTGAGGGTATTCTAATAAATAAATAAATAGCCAACACTCTCAGAGTCACAAAGGGAAATAACCCACTAACAGGACGAGTCACTGGCTGCCACCGCAGCTCTGTTGGTAGCGCGTCCCATGCGCAATGCGAAGGTTGCAAGTTCAATCTCCAGTGGTAGCAAGTTGCTCCTCTATCCGAATGCACTTTATCTCATAATAAAAGTGACATGTAGATGAAAATCGATAATAAGCACTGAGCATGACTTCATAAGGAATGCGTGAAACAGCTAAAGCCTTTTCTGTTTAAAGCAGGACAGACAGTGCCGTTCAACCAACAAAAGCTGTCGCTTAATTTTCTCTTGGTTTCACCTCATGCACACTAGAGAAGCGATGCTTGGAAGGTCAGTGCTCATCGCACCAGCACTGTGACAAGTGTCTGGATGTTATTTCTGTTGCACAGCAGTCGCTTCTCGAGCCGCATTGTGCCAACCCTTTGTATTTCGGGAACACCGTCTAAAGACGTGCACAAACAAATAACCGAGAGTGAAGGCTGCGGCAGCACCTCACCAGTCTCGATACGTCCAGCCTGCCATCTTGTCGCAGGGGATGGGCAGGTCTCCCTGCGCGTCCACCAGCTCCCATGTGAGTGTGGTCAGGTCGAGTCTGTACAGCTGGTTCGTGTTGCGGTCGGTGAGGAAACCGCCAAACAGATACATTGCATCCCCCAGCACTTGGGCAACTGCACCCTGACGTGCCCGGTGGGATGTCCCCCGCCAGGCTTCGTGGCGTCCTGCATCACGTTAAAAGAGTGCCGACACTGATTTTCAAAGCTCAATTCACTGCAAAAGAGCAGGATACTTGGGCTGGTTGGTATTGCATTTTTTAAAGAAACTACACTTTCTTAGTGTGCAGGCAACGTTTCAGAAAGAAGACAGAAAGTGTGTGGTCTTTTGTATCTGCTTTCCTTCTGAAACGTTCCTGTGCACTGAAAAAGCATATTTCTTTCAAAAATCAGTTTACTGAGTCCATAGAATCTCCTGAATACAGAGATGGCTCGAAGCAGAGTGCGAAGCTCTGTAAATGCTGATAATCTTATTTTGACACTTCAAGTCGATTTTCAAAATAGCACACATTATGGCATTGACATCTTGCACCAGTGCTGCTAGTTGTAGGCGACGTCAGAAATTAAAACACGCAAAAAGGCCACTTGCGCATCGCCATCGCAGCCACAGAGCAAAGTGGCCGTGAAAACAGCACAATTCGTGCGAGTCTGTTACGAGAAGCTCACACGATGTGAGGATATCAGTGGACTGTAAAAACTGAAACTAGCTTTAAAAAACTGCCAATTAGTTTTTTAGGGCACACTAAGGTGCACCAAGGTAGCATCACCATCCACACTTTCTTCTGACACATTTTCTTGCTTAGCATTTTCTAGGCACCTGAGGGCTTGACTTTTCATTGGAAGATGTGGCAGAGGTGTAAATGCCATAAATGGATCCAAAACATTCCTGAAGGCATGCATTATATGATGTAATCCCTGGAAACGCCCCTACACATCCAATACTTTTGAGTAGAGGTTGTGTCGTGGCTAGTCGGAACATCTAAGTGCTAAGTGGAGTAAGCAGCGCATCTAGCGAGCAGTTTAAGGAGACACTAACGTGCAACAACAAATCGATTTAAATTGACAACTTGTACTCTGTGAACTCTAATGTCACTGATTTCACCCTCGTACATTTATTAATACTCAAGAAAATCAAGGCCATAGTTTCATTTTTAAATTTCACTACCGAATCACCACAACTTCACAGATTTCTAAGTGAATTTTCGTATTTCAGCACAACGAAATTTCCTAAACCTTGCTATTTGAGTCCATGGCTCACTAGGACAATGTACTTCATTTTTACCGAATAGGAACAATGTAGGCCCTAGTAGACGGCGCCATAATCTATGATGTCTGGCATGGGAACTTCAAGGTAGCATCACCGCCCACACTTTCTTCTGGCACATTTCCTTGCTTAGCAAGCATGTTGTTGCAGCAGGCTGAGTGATTTTAGAATCGTGAATGTGTTATTCATCAATGCAATAAAAATTGTTTTTCTCGACAGAATCCCCTTTAAAGAAGGCAGGAGATGAGATCATCACACACGAAGCATATGTAGCGAATAATTTAATGAAAACAAAAAAATTGAAAAAGGGAGCAGGCAAACAGTGCATGAGCAAGAGTGGATGCAAACACGAACCGAAACCTGCGCATTTTTCTTTAAGTACGCTACCCCTACTAGCATAGGCGCTCATCATAGTGCTTGATCAAACATGTGCAGCACTCAAAATTATCTGCCCTAACCTAGGAGTGCCACCTGCCCATCTGTAAGCACAATAGAGGAAGAGCTCGCACGTGCACCACACTTCTCTAGCAGCATATTGAATGTCTCTACTTTACAATTGTTTTTCTTTTAAATTTTTATCTCTACTATACGCTAAAATCACTGTGTTGTAGACTTGGCATCAAGGACAGTCTCGCTCAACACAGCTCTGGCAGTGAGTGTAAATTAAACTTCAATGACAAGCCTGTTTTGGCACATAGCTAGGATGAAATTAAAAAGAATTGCTCAAGCCTACAGTAATGTCATCAAAGAAGTTTGCCACATGCACGAGCTCTCGGCCTATTGCGCTTACAGAAAGAAACCTGGAATTCCTAGCAAAATAGAGAAAAATTTTGAGTGCCAAACATGTTTGACGTTGTATTCTGGGAGGAAATTTATGCATAGTTGATGGGTTAATGGGAAAAAAATGACGGGTTCGGATGTACAATTGCTTGTCAGATGTTCGCCCACCATGCCCCACGCTTTTTTGTGTTTAATTTTCATTATATGAATTGATAGATGTGCTGCGTACGTGAAGTTCTTGTCTCCCATCTTCTTGGAAAGTTTGCAGTGCTGTTTATTTCACCGATACTTCTCTACGCACAAGTGAACATGCGGCTTACCAACAATGTGAAGTGAAATGATCAGATCAAGATGGTTGTCAAGCTAAACTGTGATCTGTCGGCAACTTGGGTTACGTCATTACTGCTTGCTCCACCAGTGTGTGCCACATGTGACAAAATTAAGGGGAGTTGCAAACAGATGCTGCTTTAATAACGGCTTTCAAAATGAAGAAACGCGTTCCCCAGTTTCATAGAGCCAACGAATATGACACACACTTTTCGTTTTAGACATCTTATTTAATTGATTTATGGGGTTTATTGTGCAAAAACCACTATATAATTAAGGAGGCACATCATGGCGAGGCCATATTGTGTTGCCAAATTAATGGCGGCCGCCTGGGGTTTGTTCTGATCAGTTAGCCTTGCTGCTAGTAAGTAAGGAGAGATGGCTGCGAATGTGAAATGATGCCCACTGCGATGTCTCGTCACCAGACGCTCAGTGCCAGACGGCGCAGCGACGCAGCTTTATCTGATTGCGGTCGCTGCTCGCGCGTACCGATCATTTTGTCTTGCGTCACACCTTCAACGTCAACAACGTTAGCGAGGCAATACAGGCTTCGCTTTTAAAAAATGAGGACCGTTTGTCGCGCTTTCCGCATTACGCAAGCGCCATGCCGGGAAGCAAACTTCTTGTTACGGTGGCCTTGTTCTCGCGCAGTTTCGTGTTCGATGAGACAACCGTAGCCAGCCTCCGTTCCGCTAACGTTGTAGTCTTGCAAGTGGAAAGCGGCGTAGCCTGCGAGAATATCTTAGTGCTCTCATTGTGATCGAGGCGACAAAAGGAGCGGCTCGCACGTCAAAGCGAATGAAAGGCGCTTGGCACGCTGCCGAGGGGACGCACATGGAAGCAGCACACACGCCGCCTCGCAGACGCGGTTTTGTTTCGCGAGGCCCGAGCCAAGAATAGCTGACGGCCCGAGATGGCCGCGTTTTCGTAACTGCTGCCTTTTTTGTTGTTCTTGCCGGCAACGTTGCAACACGCTCGATATTGCTGGTGTCACTGGCAATCCCTAACCAATACACCCACACACACCACCAACAGTCAGCGTCTACTTAGCTTTACGCAAAGTAGAACTAGTGAAAAAAGAAAAAAAAAACGCGCATGAGACTGCAACAGGCATGCGAGTGCCTCATACGTCATGTTTAATGGTTACTCACACAGCTAGAAAACGTTTCTTACCATTTCTCGAGGAAGGTATCGTAAAACCAGAGCTCATTGCCTGGCAGGTATATCGTCGTTCGCTCCGTCTCCTGCAATGATATTTTAGAAAACACACACGGTCGCACAACGCTCACAATCCGCAGGGAAAGTCTTTTCATCACGCGCATTCGCCAAGTCGCCACAACACGCAACGTCGGTAACTGTGTCGCAAGCTGCGGATAAGCAGAAAGTTAAGGCGCGGTCACCGGTCGTTACGAGCCGTGCCACGATGCACACAATTCGGACGCTTCATGCGTTAGCCGACCGCACGCTGCACAAACACCGATGCCGACTGTCACAGAAAGCTGCGCTGCACATATTAGACTTTACCAAGGCGGTTGATGGCACACTCTAAACACGCAGTGCTTTTAAAGCGGCTTGGTCTGAATCACACTTGTCTGGAGCGGTCGTGGCTTTGGACGTTTTCGGCGCCCACACCTGCAGCGTCGCGTTACCTAAAAGTTCACGCTTAAATTAAAGCACAAGGAGCTACCACGTCATATGACTGCGTTTGGTATCATTACTGCGTCGATCTCTGCTCTCTTTCAAAAAAAAACGTTGGCTGAGTGCGCGCTCCAGACAAGACGCGATTCAGACTGTGGTATACGCTGTCAGCTGTGCACACATCGCTGCATCGACAAAGCGCAGCGATTGCGCGCGATGCAGCGGTATGAGAAGCGAGAAACATGCGCGCACGCCGATGTGCTATTAAGACGCACGCATCGTACATCGAAACGAATAAACACGAACCGCCTGTCGAAAGATTCGCCGGCGTCGCAAATGGTCCTCCTGCGACGAACCTACCCGGTAGCCTCCCCAGACGAGCACGCCATTCTTGTACGCAGTGGCGACGTGTCCCGTTCGCTGCAGCGGTTTGGTCGAACTCTCCGCGTTGCTCATGATGCTCGTTTCGCGCCCGGAACGTAGAAGACGCTCGCATTTGAAGATCTCCTCAGCCTGCTTCCCAACCTCCCGCAAACTTTCGTCACTGCTTTCGTCGCTAAATAATACTTCTACTGGATCGGCTATTGTCGACTAGTGTTGGCTGCTACCTTAAACTAACTACTTTCATTTTTTCAAAACAAAAACTATACCTATAAAGATTTCAACAACACAACTTCTACCTAATGCCAATTTTTTTAATACAAGTTCCCGCTTTTTATTTTCGTGGTTATCAAGCAACACTATTTAATGTTTTGGTGAATTTGGATTTCACGTTTTTCCGGATAGCATGTTTCTGCCGCATTTTTCTTTTTCCAACAAGCATGAACATGGTTTAATGTAGTTGAGTTTCAGTTCACTTTGATTCAAATGACTTTTGTGTGGCGTGGCTATTAGCGAATGAAAACTCTATGGCCTATGTCGTATGGTAACCGTGATAACCGCGCGGCGTTCAAAACGCCACGTGTAAAGCGAACTTGGCAAGGTGGAAATCGCCTATAGTCCGCTATAGATTGTGTTGTGGAACAACTGCTTTCCGCCATCGGCCATACCATGCTGAATGCGCCGGTTCTCGTTCGATCACCGAAGCTAAGCAGCATTGGGCACGGTCAGTACTTGAAAGGACACCGAGTGCTGATGGCACCATCTATTTACTTTTTTTTTTTTTGCAGAGAAGGAACAGAAGGAGGAGGGTGTTGTTTAATCTTGTGACGTCATTGGTTGCCCGTTTCACACGCGCACATGACCATACGTATAGCCAATTGAAATTTGATGCGTGTGCACATGGGTTTAAATATGGCACCCAGTGCGCGTGACATACTCTATTTATTTTTTGAATCTCTCTTTATCTATTCTTTTCTTTTTGTTCTTTTTGTTAGAGAGGAGGAAGAGGGGTGGAGGGCCTTGTTTAATATTTCGTCGCCATTCGTTCCTCCTTGCATCACGCGCACGTGGAAACTTAATCCGTGCGCACACAGGTTTAAATTTGACGCCAATGCAGTTGTGTGCGATATCTCTAATCGACAAAACACCGAAAGCGCATGGCACCTTCTTTTTTTTTTTTTGAATCTCTCTTTATCTGTACTTTTTTTGTTCGGAGATAAAATAGAGGGGGGGGGGGGAGTTCGAGGGCGTTGTTCAACTTTTCCACGGCATTCGTTCCTCAAGAAGGAAATAATGCATGTAGTAAATCGGAATTTGATGGCTGTGCACGTGTGCCTAAATGTGGCGCGCATGGCACTTCGATCGTGTGATATCTCTACTCGACAGATTTTATTGCCGGTTCGTACAATAGCACTAAGAACATATCCTATTTGTCGGGGTTGAACGTTCATATGACTATGAGAGACGTCATGGCGGAGGACCCTGCACGACTTGTGGGTCAGCATACGAGTGTCTTAACCACTAGACCACCGTGGCGGGTTACAATGGCATTAATGGGCATTACAATCATTCCTCCTTTGTATCGGTCACTCATGTGCCGCTCATTTATAAAAGCCGACGCAACAGTCGTTTGTTAAGTTACAGAGAATGAATTACGAGCATGGCCGGTGGCGGCGGCCAGCAAGCGCACACACATCCGCGCGTAGAAGTTGGCGCACTCGTGCTTGTGCGCCCCAACGAAAGAGCAGAGCAAGCTTTTTGTCGGAGAACAACAGACGGTGTAGTCACGCACCTTCGACGTATTCCGCCGAGAGAACTTTACGCACTGCATAAGCTTGGCAAGATGAAAATCGCCCGTGATAAGTTGTGATGTGGAACAACTGTTTTCCACCATCGGCCATGCTGATACTGTTTCTGGACACGGACGCGTTCAGACGCAGCATGTCGTGTTCCGTCGGAGTGGTTGAAGTGGTCGAGTCGGGCCGCGGTTACAGAAACGCTGCAATGGAAAATGACGAGTACCGTTTGATTCTGCGTAATCTGCCCAGTGGACGTGTTGGTTGTGGACGTGTTGGAGTTCGTGTCCTGTTCGCGGCACCGTGCAATTAAACGAGAGAAGAGAAAGGAGGAAGAATCGCTAAAACATAATTTTACTACATTGCTATAGGAAGAAGCAAAACCACCAGGAACGTTCACGGATGATATTCGCAAGGCTAGGCATAAGCTGGAAGTTTTTGACATTGAGCGTTATAGGGGGGCTATAATTCGAGCTCGTGCTGAAAAGTTGTTGGTTGGTGAATCACAAACAAAACGGTCACTGGGTGAAGAGAAGAGATAAGCCTGCAGAAATATCATAGCGGAATGCATCACGATGGTGTCGTTTACACAGATAATAAGGAAATAGAAAACGTTTTTTCCAATTACTATCGCGATCTGTTTAAGCGATCGGAGGTTGACATAGGAATGTTTAGGAAGAAATTCTTACCTATGATGTCAAAAGTGCCCGAAAGTCTTGTTGTAGGGTTAGAACTGCCTATTTCAAACTTGGATGTTTAAAGAGCTATTGAACGGCTAAACCCAGGAAAGTGACCTGGACCATATGGGTTTAGCGCAGCCTTTTACAAAACGTTTAAGTCCGAATTTTCTCCGATTTTGACTAGTCTTTTCAATGAAGCTTACA